TTGTACAAACAGTTTGAGCCCAGCTTCTTCAACTGTGGGTCCAAAACCCCCGGGTGGGATTGTATAATTGAATATGTTTGGGGAGGTCAGAAGTGAGGGGGGGTCACAAAAAATCTGGCAACCGTGAAAGCTTTCTGGATACACAACCCCCAAAAGGTAATTCACAATCAACTGCATGGTGAATCCGAGGGACCTCACCCAGGGAGCATCTCTCGGGTGAAAAAGCAATCATAAGGGGGGAATGTTTTTTTTTTCCCCATCCTTCCACCAGTGCCCATTTCCCACCTCCAATGCTCCCAGCATCCCTCCCACCCCCCCCCACCTCCCCATCCCACCCCACCCCACCCCTGAGGTAGGGCATTCCCTTTTGTTCTCTCTCTTCTTTTGGTTGCTGTGGTTTGCAAAAGAGGCATTGAGTGGCAATCATGTTCAGTCTATAGTCTACTTTCAGCATGTATCTCTCATCCTGGCAGTGTCCTCCCAACACCCTTTACTTGGTGCTCCTTTCTCTATCTGAGCTGCCTTTTCCCCCAGAATGTGCGGCTGGCCTCCAAGCCCGGGAGTGAACCTCCTGGTACTTGTCTCGGCTATTCTTGGGTGTTGGTCTCCCACAAGGCGGGAATGTTTAAGAAGCCCTGAGTTAGAGCAGAGCAAGAGGCGCCCAGACCCCTTCTGTGTGTGAGAGCCCAGGCAGAAGCAAAGATGAGAACATTTGGAGACATCCTCCCTGTGCCGGAGAAAGATGAGTCAGGGAAAGGATAGAGCGCTGGGTCATCACAGCGCCCCCGTGTGGTGTGAAGTGCCGTGTCCATTTGACCCATGAAGCCCCGTCTCCCAGGGCGTGTGGTCACGCAGGCACTGGTCTACCACCAGGATCCAGAGACCCCACGGGTCAGCGTCACTGAGCAAGCTCCATGAGGTTGGGAAACTGGCCTGGCGAGACGAGGAGGTGAGATCAGACGTCAAAGGGCTGTTTCTGAAGGGCTTAAAATCCCGGGGGATTCGTGGCCGTCTGATAAGGGCCTCACCAACCCCGGCGCCTGCAGCCACAGGAATTCAGGGCGAAGGCAACAAGATCAGCTTTTCAGAGGCAAACGAGAAGCAGTTCTCACAAATGTGCCGGTCACCGTCAGTTGCTAAAATAAACCCATGAGCCAGAAGCACTTGTCTAAATGCTTTAATTAAAACGCGTTCAGAGACGATGAGAGCCAGACTGTCAATGCAGTTATTTGTGTTTGTTAAGAACAGGGATGGAAAACGTCCAGGTAGCTGAAGACATTTCCATACTGAAAGTTTAAATAGCTTCTTGGTTTTAATTGTGTTTAAAATGTGGAAGTGTTCTTAAAAAATAAAACTTGCTATTGTCTACACAAATGCAGGAAAGGTGGAGACATTTTAAAACGTAATAGAGATTCGACACGTACAAAGGTCCTGTTCAGCTTAGAATATAAAGATTCTACTTCCAGCCGAAACACAGAATCACAGTGTTCTCGCCCGCACACTCCATCCCGTGTCCAGCCACCATCAGTCCCGTTCTACTTGGCGAGTTCAAGTGCAATTGTTCTAATGTCTACGTTTAGTGAAAGTGTCAAGTTGAGCAAGATAACTCCCTGGAGTTAATTCACTACAACTCTCCTTTTAAAACCAGCATTCTGGGGCCAGAGCGATAGTACAGCGAGGAGGGCATTTGCCTTGTAGGCGGCAAACCTGAGTTTCATCCCTGGTAATCTCATGCAATGCCTTGAGCCTCGCCAGGAGGAATTCCTGAGTGCAGAGTCAGGAGTAACCCCTGAACATCGCTGCGTGTGACCCCAAAACCAAAAAAAAATATATCAGCTTTCCTTCCAAGATGATTTTTTTTGGGAACATTAAATTTCTCTTACTTTGTGTAATAAGCAGCATACATTCGAGAGTTGGTTTCTACAAGTATAAGTACATTCATATAAAAAGGTTTCCTTATGAAATAGAATCTCACAGTGAAGGTCCTGGGAGCGTCCTGCCAACTACTGAAGGCCAATACATTTACTTGATTGATACATCGAAATACTTGCTAGAGATAAATGCAGCCTCGTGCACAGATCTGAGGATGTGTAGAATGTGCTGATACGGGGGATCAAAGGGGTGGGGGACGAAAACCGTACCAGAACCTCCAGGTTCCCTATTCTAAAGCAGTGCTTGCCAGGGAAATTATGTCCAAAGAAATTTTTTACATCAGCAGTGCTCAGGGCTTACTCCTGGTGGTACTCGAGGAACCATACGTGGTCCAGGGATTTGAACTGGGAGTGGTGGAGTGCAAAGCAAGTGATTTAATCCCTGTACTATCTTTCTGGCCTCTCTGCAAGATTCTTAACAGCGTTAGATTGGAAATGACACAAATGACTGATTATAGACAATTGGTTTTCAGACAATGGGCGAGACTGCAGTCAAAAACCAAAAAGCAAATTAAAAAAAAAAGCAGGTTAAGGGTATGACTCAGCAGTAGAGCAATGCCCTGGCAGAGTAAGCCCCTGGGTCTAAACCCTGGGACTTCAAAAGGATGAGAGAGAAAGAAAGAAAGAAAGAAAGAAAGAAAGAAAGAAAGAAAGAAAGAAAGGAAGGAAGGAAGGAAGGAAGGAAAAGAAAGAGGAAGGGGGAGGGAGGGAGGGAGGGAGGAAAGGAAGAAAGGCAAGGGAAAGGAGAGCAAGGGAAGAAAGGAAAGAAAGAAGAAAGGAAGGAGGAAAGAAAGGGAAGGAAAGGGAAGGAAAAGTAAGGAAAAAGAAAGAAAAAGAAAAAAGAAAAGGAAAGGAGGAAGAAAGTCAGATAAATGGGTAGGGGGGCTGGAGAGATAGCAGAGCGGGTAAGGTGTTTGCCTTGCACGCGGCCGACCCGTGTACAATTCTCAGCATCCCCTATGGTCCCCTGAGCACCGCCAGGAATAACTCCTGAGTGCATCGCCAGGTGTGACCCAAAAAGAAAAAAAAAGAAAAAAGAAAAAGGAGTAGGAAGGGAAGGAAGAAAGGAAGGAAAAAGGAAGAAAGGAAAAGAAGCATGCTCTTCATGTATTAACATGGCAGTTAGAACAAATAAATCAAGGAAAAAGGAACTGCAATTCAGGTATGCTCTACATGTAACCTCCCCCCCCCCCCCAAAAAAAAAAGCAAATAAAAAGAAGGAAACACATCAACAAGGTTCCTCTGTGAGCTCCAGCCTGCTCTGAGAGCGTATGGGACATTGATGATAGCAGCTGCTTCCATCTCGTCTCAGAGAGAGAGGGGACGTGGGGGACCAGGGTCGCAGGAGGATTTTAATGGGCATCCCTTTGAATACCCATTAAAGAAAGAAAGAAGATGTGTTGGTCCTATGAAAACAAATTAATAAAAGCTTTTTAAGAGGGTAAAATAAGGACCAAAGCACCAGCACAGCGGGGAGGGCGTTTGCCTTGCACGCAGCCTACCTGGGTTCAATCCCCGGCATCCTACATGGTCCCCGAATACCGCCAGGAGTAATTCCTGAGTGCAGAGCCAGGAGTAACCCCTGAGCACTAATGGGTGTGCCCTCCCCCCCCAAAAAAAAGCACAATAAAAGGGTAAAATAATCAAGCGATCCTCATCATTCGTTATCAGTGTGAGGATTCAGATCATAGGGCTGGTTATGGGCCAGGAATTCTGGGGTTACCTGGATCTTGGAAATGCCTAGGCCAGCCCCGGAGGGCTCCCCTATTGTCTCTTCCTGCTCTGCTGCTGTCAGAGACACAAAGCAGTCCTGGGAGCTCCCAGCCCTGCAGTTCCCAGTGTCCCAGCGATTGAGTTTCCCAGGGGCAGTGCCTGCTGGAACCCCTCGCCTTCCTGCTCAGTGATGCTCTAGAAAGCAAAGCCTTTCCCCCACCCCACCCCACCCCCCACTTCTAGGTTTTGGTTTTAATTCCCCCAAGGACCAATCTATATGCAGCTGAAACTATCTCAAATAGTCACTGGCTAAATAACTGACTTTTCTTTTTTCTTTCCTTTTTGGGGAAACATAAAAAAGATAGGATCTGGAGAAATCCAAGCAAGCTAATTGCTGTCAGCTGAGAGGTTTCATCTTCTGGCATTAATTTAAAAATTAATTAATTGCTCCCGTCATCTACAGCAAGGGTGTCAATGCAAGTGACAGATTGGTCCTGGCTGAGGAGAAGAGGGTAAGAGGGCACAGAAACGAAGCCTGCTCTCTTTGCTCTCTCTCTTGAGGGGCCCAGATGAAACGGGGGAGGGGTGCGGGGGGCGGGGAGCGCTTCCCACACCACGTCGCGCCCAGCAAAGAAACTTGGGATCCAGCCGAACCGCATTCCCGCAGCCGCCCTCCTTCCGGCAGAAACGATTTCTAGCCTCTCTACGCATGAGAGCACCGTTTGGGAGCGGATACCCCAAACATACAAGAACCCTTTGCTTCTCCTGGTGGGGGGAGTCGTCCCTCTCCACCTCCCCCCCCCCGCCCGCCCCCGCCCCACCGTCAACTTGGGAACGAGACACCGAGTTTGTTCCTTAAAAGAGGAGCAGCAGGGGATGCGGGTGTGTGTGGGGGTGCTCCGGGATGAGTGTTAGGAAATTGAACTTGGGGATCCGCCCTGCAGGCAGGGCTGGGACGCTGCGGGGAACCAGAGTCGCTGCCCCTTTGATAGTGGGGTGTCTCGGTCTTGGTGCGCGGCGGGGCACGCGGGTGCGCAGAAGGGGCGGGAGGCCTCGCAGGGCCTGGGGCGCGCGCGTGGGCTGGGGCGCTCAGAGACGGGGCGCACGCTGGGGTTGCACGCTCAGGGGCTGGGGCTCATGGGGGCTGGGGCGGTCAGAGACGAGCGCACGCTGGGGTTGGGGCGCACGGGGGCTGGGGCGCGCGCATGGGCTGGGGTGCTCAGAGACGGGCGCACGCTGGGGTTGGGGCGCACAGAGGCTGGTCCGCGCGCAAGAACCGGGGCGCTCAGAATCGGGGCGCACGCTGGGGTTGGGGCACACGGGCTGGGGCGCGCTCGGGGGCTGGGGCGCTTAGAGGTCGGGAACCCCAGAGCATCTTCCCGGCCCGCGCCTCACTCCCCGTCCTTCTTCTTCTCCTCGGGGACCTCCACCGACAGCGTCTGCTCCCCAGCGTCGGGGCCCGGGCTCATGCGGATCCGCACCGAGGGCTCCGAGGGTCCGGCCGCGCCTTCCCCGCCCGCCTCTGGCTGAGCGGCCGGGGCTTCTGGGGGCGCCGGCGCAGGCGGGGCGGCCTGGGCCGGGGCAGCCTGGTCCTTGGCTGCCTGGTCCGGGGCGGCCGCCGCTGGGGCTGTGGGCTGGTCCGGGGCGGCTCCTCCTGCTTCTCCTTCTGAGGCCTTGGCCTGGAATCGGGTAAGGGGTGACTGGTGAGGCGGAGTCGTTCCGGGCTTGGGGACTTGGACCCCTCCCTGTCCCTGTCTGCTCCCACCCTCCAAGAAGGCAGAGAACACGGAAGGGATGAAATCTGAGGGGTGGGGTTTGGGGGTGGGACGGCAGGCACAGGAGGGGTACTCAGTAGAAATAGAATATACTACAGCGGCGTTTGCCTTGCCTGTGGCTGACCCAAGTTCGATTCCCAGCATCCCATATGTCCCACAAGCACCACCAGGAGTAATTCCTGAGTGCATGAGCCACGAGTATCCACTGTGCAACGCCGAGTGTGACCCAAAAAGAAAAAAAAAAAAGAATATACTCTGGGGAGGTTAAAGGATCAAAAATCCCGTGAAGGGCATGTGGGCCATGGCTGAAGTCCAAGTACAGGGACCCGCCCTGACCAAAGCTCTCAGGAACACTCAAGGCAAACCAGAGAAGGCCAGGAGCCCCATGGCCTGGCCACTTTCAGGGGACAAATGGGCTGCGTGCCCCACCTGGCTGTTTGTCACTGGGACCTGGAGCGAGATGGGGTGGGGGTGGGGCTGTGGGTTCAGCCCATCCAGTGCAGCCTACAGTGGGCTCAGGGGCAGGGAGCCCCAGATCAGAGCAGAAAGGGTGGGTGTTGTCACAGCTAGGAGCCGGGATGATGGAACCCTGCAGGCCTTGGGGGTCTGGGGACGCTGTGGGGTCCGTCAGAGACTGATGGGTGTCTCCAGCCACCAGCCTGTGGGCCCAGGGGGACCCGGCCACAGCCCAGGTGTGGTGAGAACCTTGGCCATGGTGGTTCCCCATGCCCCCCACGGCTCTGTCTGACTCCATCTCTGATGGAAGGGAATGGAGGTGTAGGAGTAGACCCCATAGGAGGAGGCCTGAGTGCTCCCCACATTTACCAGCCCACTTGGGGTGCCTGAGCCCCAGGTGAGAGGCAGAAGAACCTCCTCGAAGCTGACTCAAGTCTGAGGGTGGCGAAGGAAGGGAAGGGGAAGTCTACAACTGTACCTCAGGGTGTTTCACTAATAAAAATTAAAAAAAAAGAAAAAGAAAGGAAGGGAAGGGGCTGGGGGAGCCCCGGGCAGCTCCGGGGACCCAGCCCTCCCTCTGTCGTGGTGTTTCTCTGGGTCTTGGGGTGCCTCTCTGCCCTCCCCCGTCTTCCCTAAACTCTGCCAACACGCATTTGAGGCAGCACGTACAGACCATGCCCAGGATGATGGGTTCCTGAGCGCCCGTGGAGAGACTCCCCAGGAAGGGAGGTCGAGTTCAGCATGCTTTCATGGAAAGGTGAGAGGTCTCGGGGTACCCTGGCATCCCCACAGCCCTGTGTGGCACCCACGAGCAGGCTGAGTCTGGGGCTCAGCAATGCCGGGGAGCTGGCCCGGAGGCAAGTGGCCCCGAGGGAGCCAGGATTCGAACCTGGGTCTTGGGGCCACTGTGTAAGAACATCTTGCTGGAACCACAACACCCAAAAGGAGAGAAAGAACAAAAGGGAATGCCCTGCCACAGAGGCAGGTTGGGATGGGGGGATGGGGGGATGGGGGTGGGAGGGATACTGGGACCCGTGGTGGTGGAAAATGGGCACTGGTGGAGGGATGGGTGTTTGATCATTGTATAATTGAAACCCAAGCATAAAAATTTGTAAATCTACAACTGTACCTCATGGTGTTTCACTAATAAAAATTAAAAAAAAAAAGAACTTCTTTCTGGCAGCTCTTGAGGGTCTAAATGGCAGGGCAAATGCCTTTCATTGTTGGCATCTTGGGCACTATGGATAACATCTCTGGCCTGCTCGGGGTGGGGGGAGCTCACATTTGGGGTCATACTCCTGGTGCAGATACTCTCAGGGCTCATGTCTGCATGTACAGCCCCACTAAAGACCCCCCCCTTTTTTTTCTTTTTGGGTCATCTCACCCGCATAGCAAAGCCTGGCAAGATACCTGTGACATATTGGACATGCCAAACACAGTAACAATTGTCACAATGGAGACGTTACTAGGCCCGCTCAAGCAAATCGATGAACAACGGGAGAACAGTGACAGTGACAGTGCTTTTTGGGTCAGACCCAGCGATGCACAGGGGTTACTCCTGGCTCTGCACTCAGGAATTACTCCTTGCGGTGCTAGGGGACCATATGGGATGCTGGGAACTGAACCCGGGTCAGCTGCGTGCAAGACAGATGCCCTACCTGCGGTGCTATCACTCCAGGCCCTAAAGACCCATTTCAATGGCTGAGCCTGGCCCCAACAGTCTGTAAGTGAGACTTTGTCTGTCTGCAATCTGGGGCCCCCAGAGACGTTTCTGGAGAATGTCAAGAGGAACCCCAAGTGGCTTTGACGTTAACCAACAGCCTCCCGCCATGAAAGCTCTGGGCAGGTCCTGGTTCAGCCACCAGCCGGGCTGGAGATGGGTTTGCTGAGCCGCTTTGCTTTGGCTCTGGACCGCTCCCCTCCCCGCGAGGGCCTGCCGCTGAGCTCCTAATTCCATCTCCCCCTTCCCAGCAGCCTCCCCAGAGGACTGTCACGAAACACCATAATTAGTGCAATCATTCTAATTGGCATTCTTGGCATTAGTCATAGACAAAAAGCCCTGGAACTAATTTTAAAATTCCCCTCAGATTTATGGGGGCGGGGGCAGTCAGCACTGTGTCTGTTGGCAGGATTTTCCCTTTCAAATCTTGTAAATTGTCACAGACACAATATTAAATATGAGCGCATGGCTGACAGCTGGGAAGAGCCACTCTCTGCCACTCTCTGCCCACAGCCCACTGCGCCTGCCTCGGCATCAGAAACAGGACTTCCCCTCAGGGACCGTTCTCTCCCCATCCACTAGCTCCAGGGCCACACGGATTGGCTCGGGAATTGTCAGGGGACCCAACTCTGTCCAATGACTGTGAGCCCTGGGACTTTCGCTGGAACCGCAGGGAGAAAGGTCCCCGTGGTCCCTGTATTGCCATGAGGTCCTGTATGGTGGTGCAAAAGGAAGACGGAGACACTCTGAGGTCCCAGCAGGTTAGAAGGATTAAATGCAGCTCTGAATCAGAGTATTTTGGACTCACAATGGGTTTCTTGGGACAGAACCCCATTGTAAGGAGAAGCTGAGCCTGAAAGGGCCTTGTTCTGCTGGAGTTAGTAAACCAGGAGACATTGGGGTGTGGTATGGGAATGGGAGTGTCACTGAGAGTGCAGAGTTTAAGTTGGTACAACCAGTCTTTTTTTTTTTTTTTGCTTTTAGGGTCACACCTGGCAATGCACAGGGGTTACTCCTGGCTCTACACTCAGGAGTTACTCCTGGCGGTGCTCAGGAGACCATCTGGGATGCTGGGAACCAAACCCGGGTCGGCTGCATGCAAGGCAAACGCCCTACCCGCTGTGCTATCACTTCGGCCCCTGGTACGACCAGTTTTTCTTGCCCCGGGACCCTCTGTACAGACTCCTGCCTTGACTTTGCCGTGACTTGAGCCAGAACATTCCCCGTGTTCTCTAGATACTTGGAGACAGCTCTGTCACTTGCTACCTGCTAGTCCTGGCAGACATAAAGAAGGGGGACAGAATGGGGGAACCGCTTCCTGGGCCCCATAGTGCTGCGACTAGGTGACTGGGTTTCCCGGGTGCCTGGGTGACCGGGTGCAGGTGCCCCCACATTACCTGTTGCTCCTGCAGCTGCTGCTGCCTGGCCGCCGCCTCCTGTGCTGCCAGCTCCTTGAGCCGTGCCCGCAGGTGTGCCAGCTTGCCGCCGCCTTTGGCACCCATCTTCCCTGCTGCAGCCAGGGCGGCATTGAAGAGCTTGGGGGTGCCCGCGCGTGGGGGGAGAATGAGCACACTCTTCTTCTCCTCCTTGGACTTGTTCTGTCTCAGCATGCGCCTGGAAGAGAGGGGTGCCACTCGCATCATACACACGCGGGGAGAAGAAGCTCGTGTGTACACACGTGTGCATGTGTGTGCAGAACCCAGTGAGAGGCTTGTGCGTGCACCTGTGTGCCTGCGTGTGTGTATGTGTGTGTGTGAAGCATCTGCAAAGAGGCTTGTGTGTATGCACATGTGCTTGTGTGTGTGTGTGTGTGTGTGTGTGTGCAGAACCCGAGGAGACACTCATGTGTCCACACGTGTGCCTGTGTGCCTGTGTGTGCAGAACCCAAGGAGAGGCTCATGTGTGCATATGTGTGCCTGAGTACATGCATGTGTGAAGAACCTGAAAAGAGGTTTGTGTCTATGTGCCTGTGTGCATGCATGTGTGTACGTGTACAGAACCTAAGGAGAGACTCGTGTACACACATGTGCCTGTGTGCATGTGTGTGCGGAACCCGAGGAGATTCTCGTGTGTACACAAGTGTTTCCGTGTGTCATGTGCATGCGTGTGTGTGTGTGTGTGCAGAACCCTTTACGGGGGAGCTGTCTTAAGGGGGAGGAGCTTCTAGGAGTCCCGCACAGCGCTCATCAGAGGGTGGCAACAGCTAGAGCCATGGGTTCCCGGGTGATGAGGCTCAGAGGGGTTGAGTGAGTTTTCCAAGTTCACACAGGAAATACCCAGAGAAAGTGTGATTTGCTCTCAGCCCCCTGCAGACACTCGTCGGTGGCCCCTGGGAGCCTCTGTGCGGTTCCCTTCCCTTGCAGGTGGGCAGGACATGTGACCTGCGTTCACTCCATAGAACACAGCAGGACGACGGGTGGTCACTATGGTGCCTATATCCCAGTGGGCTGACATCTCTGTACCACACCGACTCTGTCCCTTCCTGTTCTGGTGAACTAGGGGGTCTCGTGGGGGGACCAAGGGGCAGGGACCTGGAGACAGTCAGAACCACAGTCCTCCACCTGCCAGGAACCGCCTCCACGTGGTCTTGGAGGTGGAGGTGAGGCCCCTCTGTGGGCACGCCCATGAGCCCGGCCTTCGAGCAGATCCGAGGGGCTACCCCAGTCTTCTGGCCCTTGGGTGCTCTGAGACAGAGCTCAGGCATGGCTTCGAGCTACTACATCTGCGGTCCTTTGTGCCCCCTGCAGGACCATGTGTCACTGCACCGGTGCTCACACAGAAGGCTGGAAATTCCCCTTCATTTCAAATGAAGAGAGGAAAGCCCAGAAGCGGCAATTCACTTTCTCATGGTCACAGAGCAGAGCCGGAATTCAAACCCACCCTTTAAACCCTAGTGCCTGAGAGCAAAGCGAATCCAAAGCCACATCCAAGTTATTTTCTTCTTGGATGCTGACCATACTACTGCCATGGGCGTGGCCGGGATGATTGTCCCTAGGAGAGCTAGGGAAACTGAGGCCGGGAGAGAGCACGGGTCCAGGGTATGTGAATTCCAATTCAGACCTAACTGCCCTGCATGGTCCAGCTCCTCCCAGCCTGGGTAGCGTTTCCCATCACACAAAACCCCGGCCTTCCACTGGGTGTTTGTCACACTACAAAGTCTAGCAAGCCAGCAAGGCCAGACCGCTGATGGGCAACTCCATTCATCGGGCTTCAGGCAAAGCTCGTTTGTTGAAGAATGAGGGCATTTCTGGCTGCTTATCTAATCAGAGGCAGCGGCTGAAATGCTGAAATGCCGTCTGTCGCTATTCACTGCCCCAGACGGGCATTGTCCCGCAAGAGCGGCAAACACGGCCATCCGTCAGCCGCCTCCCACACCCGCGTCTCTGTCACGGGGCTCTAGCTCACTGTGTGACTATTTGTGGAGATGCCGAGGGTGGATCCAAATGACAGGAAAAAACTCAGCATGTTGGGGGCTGGAGCGATAGTACAGCGGGTAGGGCTCTGCCTTGCACGCGGCTAACCTGGGTTCGATTCCCAGCATCCCATATGGTCCCCTGAGCACCGCCAGGAGTGATTCCTGAGTGCAGAGCCAGAAGTAACCCCTGAGTATCGCCGAGTGCGACCTAACACACACACCCACACCCACACACATACACTGGAGAACCCCACAATGGTGTGACCAGTGCTCCTGGAGAATGTGAGGAGCTTGTTTCTGGAAGCCTCCCCTTCCATTTTTACCAACAGCTTGGTACCCACCGTGTGTGTGTGTGTGTGTAGAGAGAGAGAGAGAGAGAGAGAGAGAGAGAGAGAGAGAGAGAGAGAGAGAGACGTTTCTTTTCCACATTCAGCGGTGCTGGTGGGGATAAGGGGTATTTCTAACATGCTCTGGGGACCTGGTGGTGTTGGGGATTGAACCCTGGGCTCCTCCATACAGAGCATATGCTCCAGGACCGTGAGCTAAGCCCCCAGCCCCTGCACTCACCTGCTCTAACACCCCATGTTGATCCAGGGACACTGAATGCCAGGGGCCTGCCCCTGGGGACAGAGCTCAGTGGGCTGCAGTCACGGGAGCTCTGGGTTTGATGTCCCCTTACCAAGGGGTCCCCCCTCATTACTGCTAGTAACCCTGAGCATGACTGGGTATGCCCCTCCACCAACCATTAGCTGCTCTCAACTCCTGTCTGCACGGAGGCACCCCCCAGCTGCTGCCCCAGAAAAATAGGGTCCCAGTGGGGGGCCCTTTCTCACAGTGAAATTGACCCCAATGGTCACAAATATGTGAGAACCAGAGCATCTGGGCTCCCGCGAAGATGCTGGCTTCTGGTATGAACCGAAACCCAAGTGGCATCACTGCGTCCAACCTCAGCCCTTGCAGACCTCTGGGGACAGTTTCTAGCCTCTGCTTGTGTCGCAGCAAGTATTGACACAGTGTGTGGGGGGCAACAAGTCAATTTTAGGGAGTGAGCGAATCGCAAGGGTGAAACCCGAACAGGTGGAGACGGGCCTTCCCTGTCCCGGAGACGGGCGGTTGGTGGGCAGACTTGGTAGGGAAAGGTCAGACAATCCTGAGAAGCGTCAGGCCTACCCCGAGGGATAGTCTGCCCTGCTCAGAATCAGAGGCGCGAACACAGTGACAAGCTCACAGCCACATGTGTTAACTAAGCCACATCCAAGAGTGAGCCACCAGGGGTATGTGCCCGGGCCAATGTGTGGCCAGAGTAAGGTGCTTGATGTAGCGGGCAGGGGCCTAACTAGGCCCTGGAAGGGACAGGGACGCAGCTGGGGGACAGTGGCAGCTTCAGGTCTGAGGAGAGGTGAGGTCAGCACATGGTTGCATAGTTACGATCCTGCTGTTTATTTGTTGTTTAAAAAAGGTAAAGTCCCTCCCGTTGTTCATCGATTTGCTCGAGCAGGCCCAGTAACGTCTCCATTGGAGATTTTGTTGTTACTGTGTTTGGCATATCGAATACGTCACGGGGAGCTTGCCAGGCTCTGCCGTGCGGGCGAGATACTCTCGGTAGCTTGCCAGGCTCTCCGAGAGGGGCGGAGGAATCGAACTCGGGTTGGCCATGTTGGCTGCATGCAAGGCAAATGCCCTACCGCTGTGCTATCGCTTAATTAATTAATTTTGACTTTTGGGTCACTCCCAGCAATGCTCAGGGGTTATTCCTGGCTCATGCACTAAGGAATTACTCCTGGCGTTGCTCAGAGGACCATATGGGATGCTGGGAATCGAACCCGGCTTGGCCGTGTGCAAGGCAAAGGCCCTACCCGCTGTCCTATCACTCCAGCCCCTGTTTACTTATTTTTGTTTTTGGGACCACACCCAGCAATGCTCAGGGGTCACTCCTGGTGGGGCTCAGAGGACCATATAAGATGAGTCCAGCATTGAACCCAGGTCAGCCGTGTGCAAGGCCACCACCCTCCCCGCTATACTATCGCTCTGGCCCCATCTCCTGATACATATAAATCCATCCATAAAACATGTAATCCATCCATAATTTACTCTGATTTTTAAATGTTGTGTCTGACCCATGACTCGGGGGCCACACCTGGTCTGGGCTGGGAGACCCCGTGTGGTACCAGCATTTGGACCATGAACATGGCCATAGCCACACGCAAGGCTCATGCTTTCACCTCTGCACTACCCCTCAGCCTGACCTCCTGACTTGGTCGAGGTGTGAGTTTTTGTTGGAGTACTGAAACGCAGGCTGAGGGAGAGACGGAGTTTTCTAGGGCTGGGGTTGGGCTATACCCATGACCAAGGGCTATTCCTGGCTCCGTGAGCTGGAGGCACTCCCCACGGTGCTGGGGATCAAAATCAGACTTCTGCAAAGCTGTGCGCCAGCCCTCCGGACTATTTCCCCAGACCTGCCTTGTTTTTTGTTTTTTCCTTAAATAAAAACACACAACATACCTGGCCTTCTTCCGGAGTAACTTCTGGGACTCGGGGTAATGCACCAGGATTTCATTCAGGTCCTTCTTATCCAGAATGAAGAGGTTGGTGAAGCCGTGGGCCACCACGTTGGCCGTGCGCCGGTTCCCGCCCCCCACGGCCAGCAAGCTGGGGCAGAGAAGCAGGAGATGAACCCCTCAGGGGATGCGGCCTCACCTCTACCTCCTCCCGCTGCATGGCGAGGGACCATGCTCCACAGGAAGCCTGGGGACCCCCAGGGGTCAACGGGGAGCTCGCTGCTGTCTTGGAGGCCCCCTTGCCCATGGGGACCCTTGAGAACAAAGCCCGCCCCACCCCCTCCCAGCGCCCTCCTGACCTGATCTCTCCAAACACAGATCCGGCTTTTAGCGTGACCAGAATGGACTTCCCATCGGGGCCGCCCAGGACCTGCACCTGGCCGGCCTGGATGATGTACATCTCGCGGCCGATTTCCCCCTGCAACGGAAGAACGGGTCCCTCCATCACTGCCGCGGCAGGGCAGGGATTGGGGATTGGTAAGCGGGAACCCGGGCTGATGTTCATTCCAGGCCCTGGCCCCTGGGGAACTCAGTGCTGCCTCCCCCTGTGAACGGGAAGGGACTTCGCTTGGCCGCCTCCAGCGAAGTGATGGGAGCCAGAGGTGTGATGGGAAGGGTGGTGAGGGGAGGTGAAGAGACCCTCCTGGCCCCCGTTAGTGGCCTGCATGGAAGGCCTGGGGCATGGGTGCCCCCCACTGGGCAGCTACCCGCTGCCATGGAATGATCCCAGCTACCAAGTGGAAAAGGGCCTCTCCTTTCTAAAGACTTGCGGGGGGCAGGGGTGGGGGCGAGGAGGGGCTGGAACGATAGCACAGCGGGTAGGGCGTTTGCCTTGCATGTGGTCAACCTGGGTTCGATTTCCAGCATCCCATATGGTCCCCCGAGCACCACCAGGAGTAATTTCTGAGTGCATGGGCCAGGAGTAACCCCTGATCATTGCTGGGTGTGACCCAAAAAAGCAAAATAAATAAATAAAATACATCTTATGGGGCTGGGGGCTACTTTATCCTTCAGGGCCCTCTTCGCTCCCTCAAGGTCAGGGAGCCTGATGTGAGCTCAGGTGGCCTGGTTCAGTGGCCCTGGCCCTTCTGGGTTGAACTGGGTTTCTGCACATTCGCTGGTGAGGGTCCCACCCCCTCTGCACCCAGGAGGCAACAAAACCCAGCGGACTCATGAATCATATATAGATGAGGCCGGGGGGCTCTGGGTAGGGCCCCTGCATGCCCACCCTCTAGCCGAGAGACACGAGGCGCAGAGCGGAGGCGGGAGAAGATGGCTCCTGCCAGGAAGGTGAAGAGCTTGGGCGCGCCGTCCCCTCTGGGCTCAAAGGACCGGCTCTGCGGACACTTCCTGCCCCAGGACAGATGCTGTTTCTGTGGCTGAAGCTGGTCTGTGCTACGTTGCCGCCTCAGACTAGTGACACCAGGGCCCCTGTCCCAGATTCCAGCACAGGGATGGGATTGAAGGACGGTGACAGCCCCCCCCCCCCCCCACCCGCGGGCTCTTCCCCTGTCTGCGCCTCCCAGGGCCGCTCTCTCGTGTCACCTGCTGATGGAGGGTGGGTGTGGGCACATTGATCACCTTCAGGGACACCTGAGAGATGTTTCTGGGGCAGCAAGGCCAGGTGTGACCCCCTATGCACACAGGCAGAGGCTTTGCCCCCTATCTCCGTGGTCTCCTGTGTGTGGGGTCATCTGTGGGGGTCACCTTCACTCCAATGACCCACCAGGGCGGCCCCTGGGCTGAGACACCATTCTCAGCTTCCTTCCTCTCTTTTTTTCCTTTCTTTTTGGGTCACACCTAGTGATGCTCAGGGGTTACTCCTGGTTCATGAACTCAGGAATTACCCGTGGCGCTGCTCGGGGGACCATATGGGATGCTGGGAATCGAACCTGGGTCAGCCGTATGCAAGGCAAATGCCCTACCCGCTGTGCTATTGTCCAGTCCTTCCTCCCTCCTCTTAAGAGAGTCTGCTGCCCGCTGTGTGGGCACAGAACTTTCAAAAATGGTTTTGAAGTTCTTTTTGCGTTCTGACAGCCCCTCCACTCATATGCTGACCATACACTCCTTGACCCAGAGGACAGAGTCAGAGAAGGCAAGACACTTGCTCAAGGCTGCATAGAAATGCAATGTCAATCAAGTCCCTTTTCTGCTCCCAACACCCTTTGGCCTTTGGGGCTGTTGTTGTTTGGGGACAATGCCTGTCTGCAGTCAGGGCTTACTTCTGCCTCTGACTCAGGGGTCCCTCCTGGTGAGACTCGGAGTACCATATGGGGTGCTGGGATTAAACCCAGGCTAACTGCAAACTAACCACCATCTCTCCAGCCCCTTGGGCTGCAGTTTTAAATTCCCGGCCTCCTACAGTCCCCACTTCTCCAGTGCTCTGCTTCTAGAACCTTCCCTGCAATATAGAGCACATAGCTGGAGACAGGGGTCTCCTTGGGCGGAAAGTTCCCGAGACTTATAGGGGGTGTGCCGGCGACTCTCCCCCTGACACACATACCAGCTCAGTGTCACCGCCAGGTAAGCTGGTGACTCGAATCTGCCACTTCTCCCTGCACTGAGTGACCTTGGAGTCACCTGGAATGCCGAAAGCGGAGAGGAAAGGGCCTAGACACCCTCTAGCTTCTAGACACTGCAGGCCCCCGCCTGGCTCTGGGACCAGAGTGTTTAGGCTGTGCTCAGAGCTCATTCCTATGGTGCTCAGGGTTCACTCCTGAATCTGAGCTCAGGGCTCACTCCCGGCTTGGTGCTCAGGGCTCACTCTGGACTCTGTGCTCAGAGCTCACTCCTGGCCCGGTGCTCAGGGTTCACTCCTGGCTTGGTGCTTAGGGCTCACTCCTGGCTTGGTACTCAGGGCTCATTCCTGACTTGGTGCTCAGGGCTCACTCCTGGCTCTGGGGTCAGGCTGCTCAGGGCTCACTCCTGGCTCTGGGGTCAGGCTGCTCAGGGCTCACTCCTGGCTCAGGGGTCAGGATGTTCAGGGGGCCATAAGTGGTTCCGGGGTCGTGTAAGTCAGCGCCCTCCTCATGCCCTCACACTCCTTCTCAGTAAAGTTACACATCCCAGATGTGAGGGTGATGCTGAGGGAGCCCGAGGAATGTTCTGGAAAGCATGTGGCACACCCACGGTCACTGCTTGGGGCTCATGTCCCTGGGGCTATGCCGGGCTCCCTGTGCCACCCCATGCGTGGTGGTGACCCCCGGGGCCCGCAGAGCCCCACTCGCCTTCTTGCACACGTAGTCGTTGGGCAGGTAGACGACGGAGCGCAGCCGCTTCAGCATGTCGAAGATCATCTGTCGGTCACAGCCCTGCAAGAGGAGGGTGTCAGGGCGCAGGTCTCAGGGACCCCCGCGGGAGGAGGGGTGTCAGGGGGTCAGACGGGGCCGGGCAGCAGTACCTGGAAGAGCGCCACTTTGCTGACGATGTCATAGTTCACGTCGATGGCGAGGTCCAGCCGCATCTTGTCCGGAAGCTGCACCATCAGCTCCGACTCGTCTGCAAATGAGGCCCTGGCAAGGGTCAGAGGGCAGCCAGCACCCCAACACACAGAGCCACACACACACACATAAACACACGCATGCAATACAAACACATGCAACATACAAACACATGCACACATACAACACACAAACACATGCCCACACACAAGCACACACAACATACAAACACACAGACATATAAACATGCACAAACATATCCTAACATGCATGTTTACACAGGAACACTCATACATACAAACACACATACATGCTCACACAAACACAACATGCTCAAAGACACAAACATATATCCTCACACACAAACATACAGACTTCCACATACAAGCACACAGATTCACACATATAAATACACGCAAACATGCATACTCGCACACACTCACACATAAACACACATACACAGACACAAATACTTTCACACAGCTACATACAAACACACATAGAACCACACCTACACTCACATACATATGTATACAAAGACACTCACACATGGATAAATCTGCACTGTGCTGGCTAGCCCCGGGACACCTTCCCTTTGTCACAGCAGATGGGAGAGTCCTTTCCCCTGTGTCAAAATGCCCTTCTCGGGGCTGGAGAGATAGCACAGCAGGTAGGGCGTTTGCCTTGCACGCGGCCAACCCGGGTTCGATTCCCAGCATCCCATATGGTCCCCTGAGCACCGCCAGGAGTAACTCCTGAGTGCAGAGCCAGGAGTAACCCCTGTGCATTGCCGAGTGTGACCCAAAAAGCAAAAAAAAATGCCCTTCCCTCTGCCAGGAACACCCCGAGTGCCCCGAGTGCGCCTCTAACTCCTATTCATTCAACACCCATGTCACCTCCTCCAGGAAGTCAGCCCTGAAAGTCCCCAGACCTAACTCCTAGGGGAGCAGCCCCAGTGCCTTCCCACAGTCACCCCCTTTACTGCAACTGTTCTGGATGAACCCTCTTCCCTACTGCCCCTGCAAGAACATCTGCAGGAACTCAAGCTCACAGAACGTTGCTTCCACGCCTATTTTAGAACCCCCAAAGGCATCCATCACTACAACGCCTATTTTACCTACCAGCCCAGGCTGGGGGAATGGGGGTCTGACCTGACCTGTGCTCATGCACCCCGGTGGGGTGTGCTCGGGCCCCTGTGGGTCCCCCTGCGTGATTCCATGTTCCCGTGTTCTGTTCCCCATCAGGCCCTCAGTGCCCAGCAGCGAGCCTGGTGCAAACGCTGGAGGGCAAGAGCAGGTCGGAGAGGCACCGCCTGGCTCCGAACCAGCTGCCCTGCGGTGCGCCCCTTTCCCGCTGCCTCCGGTGTGGCCCTGACCTCGGTGAAGCTGGGGTCACTGCTGCCAGGCCACGCCTGGCCCGGACCTGGGCTCCAGCGATGGGCACTGAGTGCGCTCAGCAGCGCCCCCAGCGGACGGCCCCCGCGCTGCAGGCCGCTCCCGGTTCTGGTGCAGCGCTGGGAGTTGGGGGTCTTTCAACCCTCCCACCCCGTGTCCCGCGCGGTGGAAATGAGCGCAGGGCGGGTCCCGCGGTCCCTGGCTTGACTCTCGAGACTCTGGACCCCCGGTGGGGAGCCGCGGCCGCCCGGCGCCGTCTTACCCAGCATGCCTTGAGAGTGCCAGGTGTACTCGTACCAGGTCTTGACCCGGTTCTGCACGGTCCGGGGGATCTTGTAGAAGTTCATGTACTTGACGGTGCTGTCCATGCAGCTGCGGTAGTAGGTCTGGCCGGCGGTGGCCGCCCCCACCACGTCCCTCATCTGGGGGCAAGGGAGTGGTTGGGTCAGCTCAGGGTCCTTGCTGGAGGCCGGGGGTGGGGCTTCCCAACAGAGCTGAGGACCCCTCCACCCCTCCCAGCAAGACTCAGACCCTACAGCTCAGTGTCGGCCAGCTGTGCTCCAGGGCCAAGAGGCGCTGGGCATGCATGCTGACCCACTCCCCTCCACGCCACCCCTGAGCCCGATCCACGTCCTGAAATGCACCTTTGCACAGACTGGGTGGGGGGGTGCTGTTGAGTGAGGGGGTGGGATGGGGACACATGTCCACACACAAAGGAACTTTTTGGGGGGTGGTGGTGGAAGGGGACCACACCCGGTGATGCTCAGGGGCTACTGCTGACTCTCAACTCAGGAATTAACTCCTGGCAGTGCTTGGGGGACCCTATGGGATGCCGGGGATCAATCCTGGGTCAGTGGTGTGGGAGGCAAGTGCCCTCCTCGCTGTTCAATCGCTCCAGCCCCAGTTTTGAGTGTTTTTTTTCTTTTTGGGTCACACCTGGAGATGCACAGGGGTTACTCCAGGCTCTGCACTCAGGAATTACTCCTGGCGGTGCTCGGGGGACCACATGGGATGCTGGGAATCGAACCCGGGTCAGCTGCGTAGAAGGCAAACGCCCTACCCACTGTGCTATTGCTCCAATCCAAGTCTTTTTTTTTTTTTGAAATAAATAGATTTTATTGGGAGGTTTTGGAGAGGAAGAGAGTGAGAGAGTAACATACTCAAGAGAGAACACGGGCTTCTCCAAGGGCAGAGAGAGAGAGAACCCCTACACACATCCTAGCATTAGACAGGAAAGCATGAAAGTACACATCTCAAGAGGGGAGATGCGGGCGACACATGTGCTCAGCCCACATGTGCTCGGCCACGTGGGCGCAAGCAGCACAAGGGCTCAGGTATGCGCCCAAGTCTTTTTTTTTTAAGTCGACTCCCCTCACCTGTACTCGGGGACCCCTGGGTCACGGCCAGCAGTGTCAGGAGGGATTCAGGGTCTCGAGTGAGCCGGGCATGAGCCCTGAACTCTTGAGGCGCCTCCCAACACACAGAGGCTTTGCTGACAGTGACATTTCACCCCCAGTGTGGGGGACAGGAAGGTGGTGCTGAGGCCACCCTGGAGGGCAAGTCCTGAGGGGGATGCTGGGACCTTGGACCCCTCCTGAGGCCATGGTGGGCGCACCCCGATCCATCCTGAGTGAGCCCGGGGAGTAGCTGGCAGCAGAGCATGGCCCCTGCACTGGCTGGAACGTAGGGTGTATCCCCCTACAATAGAGACCCCCCGGGCTTTCTCATATGAACTCAACGCTCAGCCTTTCTGGAAGCCACTCGGGGGCTGAAGCTGGTTCAGGACTTGCCTTGCACGTTGCCAACCTGAGTTCGATCCCTGACATCCCATGAGCACCGCCAGGAGTGATTCCTGAGTGCAGAGTCAGGAAGAACCCCTGAGCACTGCCGGGTGTGTCCCCCCTCCCCCAGAAACAAACCCAAGTAGAGCAGAAAGCTGGTCATCCCAGCCGCCCACGCTGCACCGAAGGGACCAACTGATGCTTCCGGGAGAGACCTCCAGGGCCGCCGCCTTCACCTTCACCTTCTTGTCTGCCCAACGCTCCGGGCACCTGACTCTCAGCCCAGTGCTCTCTCCTGGGCTCAACCCCACGGGAATGGGAACAGAGGGGGGGCCCTGCAGGCAGGGGTGGGAGGGGTAGGGAGGCAGCCCGGGCGGGTTCCTACCTGTCCGATCATCACGGAGAAAGCGAAGACCCCCGTGAAGTAGTTCAGGAGCTGGAAGACGATCTCGAAGAGCGTCTGCGGGTCGGGCAGGCCGCCGATGGTGATGAGGGTCTTCACGGCCCAGTAGAAGCAGCGGACGTAGCTGGGAGCGGAGGGCAGGGACGGTCAGGGCAGTCCCCCTCTCCTGTGCTGGCTCCGAGAGGCGGGCACAGGGCAGACAGCTTTCCCTTTCTGCTGGGAAGCGAGCCCTAACTCCCGCCCCCCGCAAAGCACTGAGGGTTGCCTGGGAGATCCAGGCTGGATCTGGGTCAGGGGTGACCCCGTCCCAGACTCTCTGTCAGCCCATTTCCAGGGTGGGCGCGCGGGGAGATGGCTGGCAGCAGCCAAGGACCCCACAGATGCCAGAAGCACCCCTGTCCACTCCTCTCATGTCCACCCCTGTCCACTCCCTCCCATGCCCATCCCTGTCCATCCCCCTTTTTCTCCTGATGTCCAGATTCTTGTACAGTAGGAGCAAAAGCACCCACGGATTTGAGTTGTCTTTCTTTTGTTTTTGCTTTTTGCTTCGGCTTTAGTTCTGGGGGCCGCACCCGGTGGTGCTCAGGGCTGACTCCTGGTTCTGTGCTCAGGGATCTGTTCTGGCCAGCTCTGTGGACCCCCGGGGTGCTGGGCACTGAAACTGTGTGCAAGGCAAGCACCTCAGCTGCTGTCCTATCTCTCTGGCTCCACACACTTGGAAAATTACACCGAAGGCCACTGGCTAGGACCCTCCCTAGGCCCAGATGGTGAAATGGAGGCCTCCAAGGGAGGGTGTCACCCCCAGCTGTTGGAATTGGCGCCAGAGTTGTGCCAGCATCAACTCCCCCCACCCCCACCCTGAGGGGGCTGCAGAGTTAGTAACCCCTCAAAGGGTGGCCGTGAGGATCAAGTGAGGGGCTAGTGGTGCCCCTGGCATGTGGTGGCCTCTCAGGAAACATCAGCGTCCAGAACCCTCACCGTCCTGGCATGGGTCACCCATTGGCTGGCGGGGACAGGCAAGTCACTCTAGCGGACGCTGGGAGAGGGGGAGCTGGAGTAGCGGGTGTGACTGGGCAGGGCTATTGGGTCCCCCGGCTACCCCTCTTTCGGCACCCAGCACCCCATGCAGTCGGGAGGCCCTGTTATACCAGTCATCACCACTAGAGGGCGTGCGACGCCGCCTGCAGCAGTTCGGAACTGGGAGGGGTCGTAGCAAAGCCACCAATGGAACATCCAGAGCCAGTGCCCTTTGGCGGACCGTCTTGGGGCGTCAGCAACATGACCGCCCCCCCCCCCCCCCCAGGATGAAGGTTCCCGCTACGGAAGAACTCCCAGGTCACACCCAGGCCCTTCATAAAAGGGAGATATTTGGGGCCCTGGGCTCTGTGACAGGCGCCTTGGACTCCCCCCACCCACTCCCCAGGTGTTTGGGGATCAGGACCCCAGGAAAGGGTCGGGCTGCAAGACCGTCAGGGTCAGTATTTCTCCTCCCCATCTCCTCTGCTCCAACCCAGCCCTGGCCCTCGGGGCAGGGGGTCCGTCCTTCCTGAGCCCCTTCGGGGAATCTAAGGAACGCTCAGGACTTCTCTTTGGCACATTCTCACAATTTCGCTCAGGTCTGGGGGGATGGAGTGACCCCTTCAGTCTCTAGAGTCCAGGTTGGGAGTCCTTTTCCTGGTCTGCTGGACTCCCCACAACCATGGCCGAGGATGCTGGAGGGTGTGGGGGACGCGGGGGTGCTGATTAGCTGAGCCGGACTTGGTCCACACTGGAGTTTTCTGTTCTACACAGGAAACCAGAGCGCAGTCCTGGCCAGTTTCTAGAGAACACAAAGTCCAGGACACTTAGTTCTTTCCCGGGAGCAAGCGCTAAAGACAAGCTTGTGTTCTGCCCTCTGCAGAGAGGGTCTCTGTGCACGGTGACGAATGAACGAATGAATGAATGAATGAATGAGCTCAAGACGGGAATCACCGACCATGTAAGGGTGCTGGGCCCTGACCCCATGTCCTATACTCTCCACCTTCTAGGGCCTGTCCGAGCCCCTCCCCCCTGAATGCCTTTAATCAGGCACTCCTAGGGGGGGAGCACCACAGCCCGGCAGTCCCAGAGGCACCCCCAGGCGGGAGTCCCTCTGGAGAACTGGGCGGGGGGGGGGGGGTGTGATTTGTTCTGTTTTGTTTGGGAGCCACGCCCAGCTGCACTCAGGGCTCTGCACTCACTCAGGGATCACTCCTGGTGGGCTCAGGGGAGCCTATGCGGTGCCGGGGATCACACCTGGGTCGGTGCATGCAAGGTGAGAGCCCTACCCACTGAGCTACCTCAGCAGCCCCCTCAGGGTATGGGGTGGGGGAGTTGATGTCGTTACAACTCTGGCGCCAACTGCAAGCAAGTGCTTGAGGGACACGAAAGGGTTGGTAGCTGGACAGGGAGCCTTTCCAGGACCTGACCAGAGAGGACACGGGCCACCTGACCCTCTCCACCGCCTGCCCCAGGGTGCGTTTTCTACAGATCAGGCAACCAAGGCTGGGAAGGAGAAGTGCAGGTCCGCCCGCTGCCAGCAGGGGGCGCTCCAGGCACCCAGCCTGGCCTCCGCGCCCGCCCACGCAGCCCGCCCGCCCCATCCTGTCCACGGTGGCCTTGGCCTTTGGTTTGTACTTGTCAGACTGTCCCCTCCCTGGCGCTGCCCTTTCCTGCCTGTCCTCCCACCTGGGGGACTCGCTTCCTGTGCCCCTGAACCTGAGCGACAGCTTCCCACAGCCTCTTGAAGCCCTAAAACTGGGTAGGTGTGTGGGGAGGGGAAGGGATGCCCCCTCTTTGGGACTGAGTTTACTGAGACCCTAAAACTGAGCGTCCAGAAGCAGGTCTGCATGCAGGGATGCCTCTCTGTGCCCCAGAGTCGAAGGGCAAGGATGGTCCGTCCTCAGTTTCCCCTGCCTCCAAAGCCCAGCCCATCCTTTGTTTGGGATGAGGTATCTGGGCCTTGGGGGTCCAGGCAGAGAGTTTATTGTTAACACTTGGCGCCCAGCACAACCCACTTCCCTGCCTGCGCCCTATAAAACCTCCCTTGTGACCGTGTGGACAGGATTGCTGCTTTGATGAAATGAGCCCTCCTATCTCATCTGCGGGCCGCTGGCCAACAATGCTTTTTCCTGATTGCTGCCTTCCTCCTATAGTCTGTTAAATAGTAAGAGTGTGTGTGTGTGTGTGTGTGTGTGTGTGTGACGCCAGGGATCCAACCCAGGTCTCATGCCAGCCAGGAGTGATCCCAGGGTATAAAGCCAGGAGTAATCCCTGAGCACTTCCAGGTGTGGCCCCCAAACAAAACCCCACAACAGCCCGTGCATCTGAGAGGGTGTGGCTGCCCTCTGGACTGGTCTGCTGGCCCCGCTGGGCTTAGCCTCGTGGTGCCTGGGAGCTGGGTTGAGGGGCACCTGTGGCCATTGGTGCGTGGCTACGAGTGGATTTGTCTCTGTGTGTGTTTATCCCAGGTTCCAGCAACCAACGTGGACACGTCCGAACCCAGAAGACCCAAGAGAAAACACAACACGGGCACAAGGGGCCCTGAGACCCCAGCTCAGGCCTCACTGCCCGCCGCTCACCAGTGGCCATGTAAGGAGGGGTGATGCGGGGGGCTTCAGTGACCTTCTAGGGGCTGTTAGGAGGGTCCTTCCCGCAGGCATGGCTCGAATCAGTGTCCCCTCCTCTGGGTACGTGCCAGGCACTTGGGAAGCTTTGGCTGAGCGGCAGCCCTTGGACCTGGCATGTCATGGTACCCAGCAGCATGGTGGCACGAGGCCCGGGGCTCACCTGTTCCCTACGCCGTCGTAAACCCAGGTGGTGGAGCCGATGCCCTGGTAGTCGGAGGCCCAGTAGTAGAGGCAGGAGTTGACGTGGAGACTGAAGAGCAGGTAGGTGGTGGTCCTGATAACTCTGGGGGGTGGGGAGTACCACACGGTCACCGGGCACACGTCCCCCACCTCCCAGACTGTCCCGCTCTGCTGACCCGGGCCCAGGGGTGCTCTGGGGGAGTGGCCTGAGCTACATGTGTGGGCTCCCTGGGAGGCAACAGGGGGCATGGACCCCGGGAGAGGGATGGGGGAGCAGGCCCCCCAGGTGCAGCCCAACCTTCTCAGGGGCCTCCCCCCACCCCCGTGTCCTGGAGACAGCAATGGCCTGTCCTCAGGCTCTCCCCCTCGCCCCCAGTTTGGGGCCAGGCCACTGGGGTCAGTTCCCTGGACAGACACAAAGGGAGGCCCAGTTTCCTGCAGTGAGCAGGAAGTGCCCAGCTCTGGGGACCTGCTCAGGATGGGAGGGAAGTGGCCGCTCCCGGCTCTCCAGAAACACCACAACCCTGGAGAGGAGCCAGGAAGAGGCGGGGGGGGGGGGGGGGGGGGGAGGGGGGAAGGGGGAGACGCTTCCCGTGACCAAGGCCTGCAGGCCAGGGCAGGAAGGGGAAGCTGAGTGGGCTTCCCCCTCCCCATTCCTGCACACGTGGGTGTGTGTGTCCTCGAGAGCAGGGGTGGGTGTGTATGTGTGTGCACACGTGTGAGGGTGTGCTGTCTGTGTACCCACCTGGGCCCTGTGAATACGCATGTCTTCACTTAGGTGTGTGGCAGCTTGTGTTCACTGTGCATATACACATGCGTGTGCCACACGGGTGTGCTGCACATATGCACGGGTGTACCTGCAGGACCATGCATGTGTGCATTGCGTGTGTATACACATGTGCCTGTATGAGTCTGCATGTATGCGTGCAGCCGCACACACATGGCAAGCATGCCTGGGAGAGTGTGTATGTACGCAAGTATGTACATGTGTGTATGTGTGTGCATGTGCACCATGTGTGTGCATGTGTGGGTGTGCATGTATGTATCCACATGTGTGTGCATGCATGTGTGCATATGTGTACGTATGGGAGTGCGTGTGTGTACATGTGAGCACATGTGCATGTATGTGTGGGTGTGTGTGTATGTACGTGTGTGTACATGTGCACGTGCATGTAGGTGGGCATGCACTGGGACTCACCTGTAGACGTAGGCTTTGCTGAGGATGGCTTCCAGACGGTTGTTAAACTCGAAGAAGGCCAAGTACTGGGAGGAAGAGCAAGGTCAGGAAAAGTGCCATCCTCAGTGGCACCTGCCTGCCCCCCCACACCCACCCGCACTGCTTGAGAGCTGAGCCCATTTCCTGCCCTTGGGGGGAGGGGGCTGGAGAGTGACCTCAGACCCGAGGGCCTGAGTCCTTGGAGGAAGGGGCCAGAAACTCCTGGACACCTGGCGAGACCGAGACCCACCGTGCTAGGGAAAGTACCGACAGAACCGTGTTCTCACAGCAGCACTCATGGGCCTTGGGAGCCCGGCACGGAACTGGGTGGTAATATCTATCCGAGGCTCATTCATTTCTAGTTTCGTTGTGGCGGGAGCACACTTGGCAGTGCTCAGGGCTTGCTCCGGGCTCTGCACTTAGGGGTCACTCCTAAGGGGTCTTGGGGGATCATATGGGATACAGGGATCACACCTAGGTTGGCGGCACACAAGGGAAGCTATATTACCCACTGCACTATCGCTCCAGTCCCTAACTTCTTTTTTTTTCCTTTTTGGGTCACACCCGGCGATGCTCAGGGGTTACTCCTGGTTCATGCACTCAGGAACTACTCCTGGCAGTGCTCAGGGGACCATATGGGATGCTGGGGATCGAACCAGGGTCGGGCCGCGTGCAAGGCAAACGCCCTCCCCGCTGTGCTATCACTCTAGCCCTCCAGTCCCTGACTTCTAAAGAAATTAATTTCATAAAGAAACATCATCCTGAGGGCAGAGCAAGGGTACAGTGAGGAGGGTGCTGGCCTTGCATGTGGCCAACCCAGGTTTGATCCCCACCACCCCAGATGGTTCCCCCAAGCCTGCCCGCAGGGATCCCTGAGCACAGAGCCAGGAGTGAGCCTTGAGCACTCCCAGGTGTGGCTCCAAAAATAAGCCAAAAACAAAACAAGAAGCAACACTCTTCACCCCATCCGCTTCTAGCCCTCAGGGACTTCTTTATAGGACAAATGGGTGTCATGGCCATGTCCCTTCACAGACGTCTCTGGCAACGTGTCATCCACGCGGCCTTATTTGGGTCTGCGAGAGGGTGGCAGCTGTCCCCTTTGACTGGCACTCAAGGGAGTCACCTGCCCGCAGGGGGTCAGTGACATGCCTGGGATTCAGCCCAGCTCGAACTCCACCTGTGAGCCCATCCCTTACTCCACACAGTGGCTGCATCCCCAAGCGCAGTACCTGATGCTGGGAGCCGTGACCGACGCTCCCTAAGGGACACAGAAATGGCCATGCAGACACCTGTTCTCATTTTTTTTTTGCTTTTTTTTGGGGGGGTCACACCCGGTGATGCTCAGGGGTTACTCCTGGCTCTGCACTCAGGAATGACTCCTGGCGGTGCTCAGGGGACTATATGGGATGCCGGGTATCGAACCCGTGTTGGAGCGTGCATGGCAAATGCCCTACCTGCTGTGCTATCACTCTGGCCCCCTCTCATTTCTTTCGTTTGTTTTTGCCCTTGGGCTACGGCTGATGGTACTAGGGCTGACTCCTGACTCTGTGCTCCTAGAGGGGGTCGGGGGGACTTCTGGGGTGCTGGGGATAAAAACCGAACTGGCGGCGTGTGAGACAAGCTCCCTCTGTGCTGTACATCACCCTGGCTTCATGCCTATTCTAATTTGTTATAATTTCCCCCGGACGGAATGCAGAGCAACCCTGAACGTGGCCCACGCCCCCCTTCCCCAGCGTGCCCAGCCGTGCTGAACCACAGACACCCACAAGCTCACACCTCTACGTCAGCCAAGATAGCACCTCTGGCCCCCGCCAGGTCAGACATGGCCTGGGGAGCCCAGATTCCCTCATCGGGCTCCAGAGCAACCCTTGTCCCCCAGGCGGGCGCCTGGGCCTCCAGACCCCCGTCCACTCTCCACCTTCCTGGAAGGCTCAGGGGAGCTCAGAGGCCCGTCCCTTCTCGGGTCCTCCTCCTGGGGCCACCATGTTCTCCCTGACTTCTCGCCCCTGCTTTCCTGCTTACTGAGGCTGTGCTTGGCCGCTCTCCTAAGCTCTCTTTGTCTTTCTGGGGAAGAGGCGCCCAACACCCTCATGAAGAGAGAACTGGGGCTCGGGCAATAGCACAGCAAGGTAGGGCATTTGCCTTGCATTCGGCCGACCCGGGTTCAATTCCCAGCATCCCATATGGTCCCCTGAGCACCGCCAGGAGTAATTCCTGAATGCAGAGTCAGGAGTAACCCCTGTGCATCGCTGGGTGTGACCCAAAAAACAAAAAAAAAAAAGAAAGAAAGTCATGTGCTTGGTTGGCCCCAAGCTCCATCTGGGGGATCCCTAGTTATCGAACAAGTCGTCCTCCTGGACCACATCAGAGGCTTCCATCAGGGGCCTATGTCACTGGGGTCCCTCAGCAGATACCAGCTAGCCCAGCAGTGACACTTCCTGACCCCAGTCACCTCAGGACAGCCACACACCTTCCCAGACTCAGTGTTCCCATCCTTGAAAAGGCCCTCGTCATAGAGCAGACGTCAGGTGCCTCTAGGAAGGGCTCGCATCTCAGGTCTTAAATCCAGATGCAACTCTTTCCTTCCTGAGTGACCTCGGGCAAGTCCCAAGTCTGTGCCTCAACCTGCCTCTCTGTAAAATGGGGTCATACCTCTCGCCTCCCAGGATTGAGGAACAAGCAGTTTTTAAGGCCCACAGAAGGGGCGGGACCCCGGAATCGTACCTACCTTCAGACAGCGGGGCAGGCGGAGGAGGGGGTTCACCCCCACTTTCAGGTAGAGAAAGTCCAAAGGCAGAAGGCAGAGCACGTCCATCTGAAAGCCAGAGCCGCCCCAGGGGCATGTAACTCAGACAGTTCCAGGGGCTGGAGGTCTCCACCTTCATGCACGGGAACTTGGGCTGCCCCCACTGAGAGCAGGGACCACACCACACAACTCCCAGGACTCCCAGCCTCCCCCCACCCCAGCCTCCTGCTGAGAGCTGGGAAGGAGAGGGGCCCCCAGAACGCACCTTAAAGCGCCTGGATTTCAGGTAATTGTTCCGCATTTCTTTTTTGTCCGTCTGGAAGAGAAGTGGAGTGACCAGATGAGCACTTAATACCCGGGCACCAGCGATGGGGCTCCTCATGGAGGCCACTGCCCCACACCCCAAGGCTCCCAGAAAGCTGGGATCTGTAGGTGGGGAGGTGGAACCCCTGTGGGGGGAGCGGGTCTGGGTCCAGCTAGATGCCCACCTGCACCCACCGCAGGGCTGGCACTCTCCTTGCAGCCTCTGTGCCTCTTGGCCCTGGGACAACGTCGGCATGGCCAGGAAAGAGGCTGCCCGAGAGGTTTGTTTTCCTCAGTGCTGTTTTAGAGGGGGCACCTTGACTTGTCTGCATGAGGGGGAGTAGCAATGCACTGTCCACTGTCGCACTGCCCTCCTGTTGTTCATCGATTTGCTCGAGCGGGCACCAGTAACGTCTCCATTGTGAGCCTTGTTGTTACTGTGTTTGGCATATCGGATATGCCACGGGGAGCTTGCCAGGCTTTGCCGTGTGGGCAGGATACTCTCGGTAGCTTGCCAGGCTCTCCGAGAGGGACTGAGGAATCGAACCCGGGTCAGCCACAGCGTGCAAGGCAAACGCCCTACCTGCTGTGCTATCGATCCAGCCCTGCGAGGGGGAGTAGGCACTGGAATTTGGGGATGTGACTCACCCAGCCAGACGGGCTCCCTGCTCCTGCCTCCATTCTCCGCCCCCTCCCCCAACCCCATAACAGTGATCTGCACCAGGGCCCAGAACGATAGCATAGCGGGGAGGGCGCTTGCCTTGCCCATGGGAGAACTGGTTTGATCCCCGACACCCCATATGGTCTGCAGAGCACCGCCAGGGAGGATTCCTGAGTGCAGAGCCAGGAGTAAGTCCTGAGCACTGCTGGGTGTGGGCCCCTCACCTCCCCCCCAAAGAAAGGGGGGATCCACAACAGAGCACAGGCTCTGGAACTGGGCCAAGCTGCTCGTTCATTGCAGACCCCCCAGGAATGCTCAGCTGTCAGCAGTTCTGGGCCAAGTCCTTAGCTGCGCGATCCACCCACCCAGCAAGGTGCCACCATGGGAACAATCACTCTCCCCATTTTACAGACGAGGAAACTGAGGCTCAAAGAGGCGGCAAAGTGAGTTGCAGAGCTGCTGAGATCTGAACCAGGTCCACTGGCATTGAAGGTCTTTCCCTGCCTCTAATTCCATCAGGGCCTGGGAGCTGTTTCACTCCGTGAGTGACAGAGACGTTTTTTGTGGCGCCGGAATTCAGATCTAGGGCTTCATGCTTGCAGGGTCAGTGCTCTGCCGCACGCCAGCCGGGTTTCCCGTTGTGATTAAGTTCCCTTGACCTATCCCGGCTACACGATGGGTAAGGATGTAAGGATGGATGTAAGGATGGATGGATGGATGGATTATGTGTCTCTTTCCAGGGATATTAAAACATATTTTGTTTTGGAGTCACGATGGGATAGAAATCCTGGAGGGGACTGGTTCGGTTTTGATTTTTGCACCCCACCAGGGGTCCCCACTGGCCTGCTCTCAGGGTCTGCCCTAGAGGATCTAACGCAGGTCTGCAAGGCGAGTTCTCTGATCACTGTCCCCTCTCTCTGGAGATCTGAGTCTGGGAGTACAGTGCTACACATGGGAGTGGTCTGGAGTGGGGAGACTTGGCACCATCGACCCCCCCGGGAGAGGAGGCACCTGTGGCTGAACAGATGCGGCAGATGCGCCTGAGACTCCCACTTCACTTCCCTTGTCCACTGCAGCCCTGGGGACAGGCCCCCGGAGATGCTGGCTACAGGTCTGTCCCCAGCCGCCCTGTCCCACTCTCCACGCCCCACGTCCACCAGGACTCACAATGATGTCCCCCCCTCTGACAAACTGCAGGCGCAGCTGGAAGACGGTGATGTCCAGGAGGTAGATGAGGTCACACAGGTAATCCATCATCATCCACAGATGGATGTTGTCTGGCCTCTGGAAGGGGAAGGCCCAGCGCACGGGGATCAGCCAGAGGTTCCAGTTCCAGGCCAGCACCACGAAGAACAGCCACAGGATGTACATCAGGTCTGCGGGCGGGACACAGGCTCTAGCCAGAGCACCCCCCCCCCCACCTCCCAGACACTCTCCACCAGGGGACGGGGGGCTGGGTATGGGCTCGCTCCTCCCCTCCCCCCCACAGCTGTCACTGGGGCAGGACCCACCCTGCTTTGATTTGGAAACACAGTGCTGTGTTTATCACCCTGAGGAACCAGGGTTCTCTGAGGAGGGGAAGGGAAATAGCAGACAAGGAACAAGACATTCTTTTGCTCCTGTGCTTGCGGATTTTTTGAAAATATCTTTCTTGCCTTAGTCAGCAGTGTGTAGAAGATGGAGAGGTAGATGGATGGGAGGTGATAGACAGTTGGTTGGATGGATGGTCTGATTAATGGATGCACGGAGAGATGGATGGAAGGGAAGAGTGGATGGATGAATGGATGGAAGGATGGATGGATGGAAAGATGAATGGATGGAGGGATGGATGGATGTGTGAAGAGTAAATGGAGGGATGGATGGAAGATGGATGGATGCGTGAATGAGTAAATGAAAAGGTGGATGGAAGGATGGATGGATGGATGGATAATGGATGGATAGAAAAATGAATGGTGGAAGGATGGATGGATGTGTGCAGAGTAAATGGAGGGATGGATGGAAGGATGGATGGAAGGATGGATGAATGCATGAATGAGTGAATGGAAGGATGGACGGAAGGATGGATGGATGTAAGGATGGATGGATGGATGGATGGATGATGTGTCTCTTTCCAGGGATATTAAAATATATATTTGTTTTGGAGTCACATCTGGCCTTTCTCAGAGACTGCTCTTGGCTTAGGGCTTCTGGCAATGCTCAGGGGACCATGGCGTGTCAGGGATTAAATCCAGGCCGCCTAGATGTCTAGACTTTGAGCACTCTCTCTCTTCATCTCTCTGTCTCTTTCTCTCTCTGTCTCTCACTCTGTTTGTCTCTCTCCATCTCTCTGTCTCTTTCTCTCTCTGTCTCTCACTCTGTCTGTCTCCTTCTCTGTCTGTCTGTCTCTCTCCCTCTATCCTCTCTCCCTCTCTCTCTCTTCTCTGTCTCTGTCTCTGTCTCTGTCTCTGTCTCTCTCCCTCTTCTCTCTCTCTCTCTCTCTCTCTCTCTCTCTCTCTCTCTCCAGTCCAGCTCCTGAATTTACTTCTGCGAAACTCACCTAGGACATCCTTTTTTTTTTCTTTTTGGGTCACACCCGGCAATGCACAGGGGTTACTCCTGGCTCTGTACTCAGGAATTACCCCTGCCAGTGCTCAGGGGACCATATGGTATGCTGGGAATCGAACCCGGGTTGGCTGCGTGCAAGGCAAACGCCCTACCCGCTGTGCTATTGCTCCAGCCCCTCACCTAGGACATCCTTGACCTCCCTCGCCTCTTGTGCTCTCTCCTTCCATCCCCTGGCCCCCCCTCCCACGCCCACTCTCCTGGCCCCTCACTACAAAGCGCAGCACCCATGCCCACCGGACTTACTGGTCAGTGGATCGATGCTCTGAGGAAACTGGTACTTCTTCCAGGGCCGGCGCTTGAACTTGCAGCACAGCATGTTGCAGTAATGTTCCTCCTCCAGCTGCTCCGGCTCCGCTGGCTTCTCCTCCGGGGCCGGCTCGGAGGGCTTCTTGGCAGGGGCTGCGGGTGACACAGGACACTCTCCAGCCCAGCCCTGAGGCTTGGGCAGCAGGTGGAGGATGCAGAGAGAAGCTCACAACCATGGGCTCTGGTGCCCACTGCCAAGCCACGGCCAGCAACGTGTGCAGAGGTCAGGACCCAACCCCACAACTCCTGAGCACCCGGAAACTCTTCCAGCTTCCAAGGTCAGGAGCTCCCCAAAACAAAGTGTTTCTGGACTTGCTGAAGTTTGGCGGGTGGGTCTGCTTGCGTGGTTTATTGGTTTCCTCTAGGGGGCTGGAACATTTTCTTTTTCCTTTCCTTTTCTTTCTTTTCTTTTTTGTTTTGTTTTGTTTTGTTTTGGGGCCACACTTGGCAATGCTCAGGGGTCGCTCCTAGCTCTGCACTCAGGAACCAATCCTAGCAGTGCTCAGGGGACCATATGGGATGCTAGGAATCGAACCCAGGTTGGCCACATGCAGGACAAGTGCCCTCCGCCCTGTACTATTATTGTTCCGGCTCTGAACTGGAGCATTTTTTTTTATCCAGGATTTCTGCCACCCAGCTGAGAAGCCATGAGAGCTCTAGGGTTCTCAGAGCAGAAATCTCAGCCACTTCCCCTCGGAAGAGGAGCCGGCCCGGTCCCAGCCTTCTCATGTGCTCAGCAGTTCCCTCGGGCTCCCCGTCCAGCTTTAGGGCTATGCCATCGGCTCTCTAGGTCCTTCCTTGGCACCAGGCGACACAGTGGACCTCTGGGCACCTTCTCAATCAGAGAGGCGCCTTTTTACTTCCTCCCAGCAGGAGAGAAGCAGAGAACGTTCAGATAAGAGTCTCGTAACTGAGCCCTCCAGAAAAATAAGATTCTGGTTCCAGAGTGGATTATGAACAGGACCTGAGTGTCCACCCAGGGACAGGTCCCCAGAGTGCACCCTGAGCCTGGTAGAGGGAAAGAGATGGAAGGTCCACGAAACTCTGGCCCAGGGAAGGGGATGCAGACCACAGCTGCTGTTGGCCAGAACCCTGACCTTCCCCTGGGTGCACCCACAGGACCCAACTCTTGTGCACCCCAACCAGTTTATTTGGGACCACAAGAAATGACGGCGGCTGGCCGGACCAGCCCAGCTCTGGACTCACAGGGCTTGGGGCTCTCCTCATCGGAGGTGACGTCCGGGTCAATGAGCTTCTCTTTCACCTTCTCCGTCCTCTCTTTGAAGAGTTTCACCAGCTCCTGCAGCCGGTCGTTGATGACGGCGCTGTTCTGGCTGGCCGTGGAGGCTGCGCGGTCCTGGCCACTAAGGGAACACCCCTAGTGAGCACGTTGGGTGTGAGGGACCCCTAGGTACCCAGGGAAGTGTGTGGGCCTCACTACCAAGCCTGAGGGAGGAAGGCCCAGCCAGCCTCCCTACCGATGTCAGAAGCCTCAGACATTCTCTCTCTTTTTTTCTTTTTTTTCCCCCCAGGCAGTCCTATTACTTTATTTATTTTTGCTATTTTTAGGTCACACCAGGCAATGCTTAGGGGTTACTCCTGGTCTGCACTCAGTAATTACTCCTGGCAGTGCTCGGGGGACTATATGGGATGCTGGGGATTGAACCCGGGTCAGCTGAGTGTAAGGCAAACACCCTACACGCTGTGCTATCGCTCCAGCCCCTCAGGCCCTCTTTAACTTCTCCAGGGGGCTGTTGAGAGTTTAGGGCTGACCCTGCCTTCAGAAAGCAGGCCACAGGGGGCCTGGAGTTATAGCACAGCGGGTAGGGCGTGGCCAACCCGGGTTCGATCTCCGGCATCCCATATGGTCCCCTGAGTGTAGAGCCAGGAATAACCCCTGAGCATCACCAGGTGTGACCCAAAAAGACAGAAGAAGAAAGAAAGAAAGAAAGAAAGAAAGAAAGAAAGAAAGAAAGAAAGCAGGCCACATCAGTGTCCAGGGGCCAGGTCTGGAAAGGTTTTAATTCCCCTTGAAATTTAAGGAGGAAACTTGGGATTGTTTGATCCAATTGGAGGTTACCAGGAGAGGCTGAGCTCAGAAGAGAAGCCAGAGTGAGGTGGGCTAGATGTAAGCTTATATCTTAGTAGAAATAAGAAATTCCTGGAAGGAGAGAGACCCGGGGCAGGTGGAGGGAGGGGGGGTTGATGACAGGGGCATGGCGGCACCGAGGTGCCGTATATCCATATATCTGGACCACAGAGATGACAACCCTGCCGTGGACCCAAAGTACCATCATCATCATCGGGGCTGGAGTGATAGCACAGTGGGTAGGGCGTTTGCCTTGCATGCGGCCTACCCGGGTTCGATTCCCAGCATCCCATATGGTCCCCCAAGCACCGCCAGGAGTAATTCCTGAGTGCATGAGCCAGGAATAACCCCTGTGCATCGCTGGGTGTGACTCCCCCCACAAACAAAAGACCATCATCAAACTGCCAAGTGACCTGTCCCGGAGGCAGACGAGGGTGGCAGGGGGCCTGGGGACATGGTGGAGGGAAGTTGACGCTGGTGGTGGGGATTGGCGTATGCCTGAAACTCTATTATAATAAATGTCTTTGTAAACTCTGTGCTTAAATTTAAAAAAAAAAACAAATAAAAGGAAATAACCAGTAGGAAAGCTCAGAGGCTCCTGCCCCACCCTGCCAGACCCACGCTTTATCTTCAGGACCCACCCTTGTGGGTTCAGGGGGGGCGTCTGCAGACAGACAAGGCCGGAAGCTGCCCATTGCCCCCGGGCGGCGTGGGGTGAGGGTCCTGGGCCCCCAGAGGCCTCCTGGCAATCATGTCTCCGAGTCAAACTGGGGTTTGCAGATCTGGCTTCCAAGGCCCCGGAGCGGCCGCCAGGGGCTCTCTCTGCACTCGGGAGGTGGTAGAACCCTGGCATGCAGGGTGGCAAGCAGGGATGGGTCCCCACGGGGCTCCCTCCAGGCTGGGGCCCCACTCCCAGGTGTGGGGGCGCACTGGCCCCGGATGTGTCTTTCTGGTTAGCGTCAGAGGGTTCAGGGGAGACATATAGGTGGCAGAATCACTGCAGCTGGTCCCTATGGGATGGCAGGAAGCAAGTCTCCTGTGCCCTGAGCTGACACCACGCAGGTGTCACTGCATCTTGGGGCCTGTGTCCCGTGGCTTAGCCTCCGAGCACGGGCGCCTCTGAGGTACCTCAAGAGGAGTTGGCATCCTGGCACCTGATTTTTGTCTTGTTTTCCTTTCTTTTTTTTTTGCTTTTTGGGTCACACCCAGCAATGCAGGGGTTCCTCCTGGCTCTGCCTGCACTCAGGAATTACTCCTGATGGTGTTTGGGCGACCATATGGGATGCCAGAGATTGAACCTGGGTTGGCCGCATGTAAGTCAACACCTTACCGCTGTGCTATTGCTTCGGACCCTCTTGTTTTCCCTCCCTTCCTTCCTTCCTTCCTTCCTTCCTTCCTTCCTTCCTTCCTTCCTTCCTTCCTTCCTTCCTTGTCCACACTCAGTTGATGTCAGGCATTATCCACTGCCCTAGGGCTCTGACTCCTTGCCTTGCTTTCTCACATAAAACCCTCACTCTGTGTTAGGTGTGACTGCACCCCGGTCACCTCTGACAACTGGGCACAGGGAAAGGTTTGGGTATTTTTTTTTATTCTACTCTAATTTTTGGGCTGGAGAGATAGCACAGCGGGTAGGGTATTTGCCTTACATGTGGCCGACCTGGGTTTGATTCCTCCGTCCCTCTCGGAGAAACCGGCAAGCTACAGAGAGTATCCCACCTGCATGACAGAGCCTGGTAAGCTCCCCGTGGCGTATTCGATATGCCAAAAACAGTAACAACAAGTCTCACAATGGAGACATTACTGGGCCCGCTCGAGCAAATCGATGAACAACGGGAGGACAGTGCTACAGTACAGTGCTGCTCTAACTTTTAATTTTGTGCAGTGGGGGCCACACTCAGTGATGCTCAGGGGTTACTCCTGGCTCTGAAACTGAGGAATCACTTTCTGCCAGTGCTCAGGGGACCCTATGGGATGCTGAGGATTGAACCTGGTCGGCCTCATTCAAAGAAATGCACTCCCCGCCGTACTATCACTCCGGCCCCGCTATTTTAAGTTTTAGGAACTTCCTGCAACTTAGTTCAACATTTGCTCTGCAGGGAGCGGGGAGATGGAGCTAGGCTTCGGGCAGCTGCCTGTATGCGTGTGGCCTGGGTGTGAGTCCCAGCACCGCACGGTTCCCTGAGCACTGCTGGGTGCCTCCTGCAGGCGCCAGGCATGGCTGGGGCAGCCCAGAGAACCCTTAGCAGCACAGGGCCCACACAACAACACCATCCTGTGACTAGCACTGAGCTGAGCACTGAGAGGAGTGGCCCTGGGGCCCCTGAGCACCTCTTGGGAGGTCCACACCTCCCAAATACAAAAACAAAAGAACAACAACAAAAAGGAAACAGGGGCTGGAGCAATAGCACAGCGGGTAGGGCATTTGACTTGCATTGGCCCACCCAGGTTCAATTCCAAGCATCCCATATGGTCCCCCAGCACCACTAGGAATAATTCCTGAGTGCAGAACCAGAAATAATCCCTGAGCATCGCCAGGTGTGGCCCAAAAGGCAAAAAGAAAAAAAAAAGAAAGAAACAGACCAAACATGATGGCCTCTTAGTAACTATATTGCAAACCATAATGCCCAAAAGTAGAGAGAGAGCATGGGGGAAATTGTCTGCCATAGAGGCAGGGGTAGGGTTGGGAAGTGTGAGGGGGGGAGGTATACTAGGGATCTTGGTGGTGGAAAATGTGTAAATGTGTGTTTGTGGAGGGATGGGTGTTTGATCATTGTATGACTGAAACTCAAACATGAAAGCTTTGTAACTGTATCTCACTGTGATTTAATAAAAACTAAAAAAAAGGTGAAAACAGTAAAAAAGTCCAGAGTTCCCTGCAGCTACTCATTATCTGTTGCTGAGGAGAATGATGAGTAGCCCAGGCCAAAAGCAAGAGCTCAAATCCCCGAGGAAAACATTTCCCAGGGGCCCGGCCCTTCGGGTAGGGTCTGGGTTCCAGACACAGCCGAGCTCGACGTTCAAGCCCCTGCTGCATATTTTTCCACAGCTCCTGAATCTGCCAGAAGCAACCTGGACAGCTGGCGCCATCTTCCTGCCCGGAGACCACTGGCAGAGTCAGCCTGGCCATGGAAGATTCTAGAAAAATCTCTTCTCTCCCACTCACCTCCCCTTGGCCCACCTAGCCCCATACTGCCCTCTTACCCTCTGCTCCCCGAGAGGTGACCCTCACTCACTCAGTGCCCTGCGGTGTAGTGGGGTCCGACCAGGCGACCACCGGGGACTCGGCCGGGGACAGCGCCTTAAGTTCTTCAGCCTCGTCGTCATGGGAGGGCAGCCGCTTCCTGCAAGGGACACAGCAAGGACGGTGGCTTCAGAGAGGGCAGGGCCTCCCTGGGGAGGGAGCCAACTCGGAGCCTGCAGGTCACCAGAGGGTCCTCATTTCTCTGCAGGGACCACGTGAATGGGGGGACACAGCTCTCCACAGGCCTCGGTCTCCACCTCTGTCTGCTGGCCGCACTGGCCACAGTAGCCGGAAGCTCTGGTCAGTGAGTGTCCTTGGCCAGGTATTATTACTCAGCACCACCTCAGTTTTCCCATCTGTAAAATGTGACTCATCTCAACTAAGAAATATCACCCAGTTGGGTCTCAACTTCGACATCTTTCTTCCTCACCCCATCCCCAAGTCTAAAGTCATTCCCCTCCTCCTCCACCCTCTGCCCCCTGTTCTCTGCCACCTTCCCAACTACTAGAGAATTCCCATGGACAAGTAGCCCGTCATCAGCTTAGGGCAAATCCCAGCCTCTCTCGAAGTCCCGGGTTCCCTGTGTAAGGATGAGACGAAGCAACCTTTGGGGTCTCCATCACCAGCTCCTATCTGCACATGGTGCTGCATTTGGAGCCAGGGAGTCCCGGTCAATGGCATTTGGGTTTGACTCCACCTGAAAAGTTTCTGCCCTCGATCCCCGGGACCCAGGGGTCTTCTGCCAGTGCTTTAGAGAGGCTACAGAAGAAGCTAAGTCTGGCGTTTGCTGAGGAAGGTCTGGAAACAACCCTATGTCTCTTCTGACAGTCCGACAGCCAGTGAGAAGAGGACAGGGGACAAAGGTCCCCCAGCTGGGACCTGAACTCAGTCCTGCACCTGGTGTCTCCCACGGACTCCCAAGAGCACGTGCTGCCGCAGAGAACCCAGAGAATGAGTCTGGCACAGTCGCCCTGTTCTCTGCCTCTTGACCTAAAACTGTGCTACCTCACAGATGGTACTTCAGAATTCCCATGAGCCCCACTGGCGGGCAGTGCCTTCTCCTTCTCTCACAGGGCAAAGGGGAGTTCTAGGAAGCTCAGTGACTCACCGAAGTTTCACATCTGATCACCGGTAACCTGGGGTTCACCCCAGCCCAAGGCCTTAAGCTGTGAGAAAGGCTTTCCCTGCAGGTCCCCCTCTCAGCCCTGTGGTTTCTGTGGCTTTCTTGTTCCCTCTCAGTCTCCCTCAGTGCTCATTCTTTCCCTGACCACAGATGACCCCACGGACAACCCTAGCATCAGGCATCAGAATGAAGCCCTCTGGAACGAGGCTCAGGCACTGGCTGATTCTCACAGACATTTAACTCCGCCCCTCTGTAAGAGCCCCTATGTCTGAGGACTTATTCTTTGTCTGTCTCGGCCCCACCAGAATGAGGGCAGGCCCTTTAAACCTTTCCACAGCACCTGGAATAGAGCCCGAAATTAAGACTGTCCAAGAGATGTTTGCAAATAAATTAATGAACAAATGTCTTAGCAGGAGCCTCACAGAAGACAGGAGGCATGGACTCTAATCCCATGGGATCTTCTTCCCTCCCAGCCCCAAATTCCTTCAAAACCAACCTTCATAGTTTCCCCCATTCACATATAAGGAGCAGAGAGAGGTAGACCAGATGTCCACAGCTGTGGCGTCACCATCTCTTCTGCCATCTGTTTCTTTTGTATAATTCAATAAGTTAAACTCAAAGGTTCATAAATCTACGAGCAATCTTTCAAGGCTGAGTATAATAATGTCTGACTCTTTTCTCCACATAAAAATCTCAGAGTCCTCGGCTTACCCTCCCTCACCGCCTCTATTCTAACCAGTTCCTCACCTCAGCTGAGAAATTACTCAAGGGCCCTTGAAAAAGAGCACACACGAATGGGGGGGCGGGGAAGGATCCATCTCTGAAGTCAGCCAACGCAGGACAGCGCTGGCGACTTGCCTTCTGCGTAATCACAATAATTCACAAGGGACGAGACAGCACTTTACAGTGTACACAGGGCTAAGTGCAGGGCGCCTCTCGGGCTGCTCAAAACCAGCTGCAACCAGACGCAGAACAGCTTTAACTCAAGAGGCAGACAAATCTGTGTCCATTTGACCAGGAATCCCAGGCTTGAGGAAGGACTCCCATGGGCAAAGAGCAGAAGAGCAGAGACACATGTCACCAGCACCTTGTGCACAGTTCCTCAGAAAGGGGGTCTGTTCCCTCCGTTTGGAGGCAAGGCAGAGGACCCCAGAGTCAGAAGTGAGAGCTGAGCCAACACCCAGTGACACGGGATGTGCTCTCAACGAGGTCCCAATGAGAGTCCCACCCCCAGTGAAAATCACACCAGCCCTTTGGGTCCATAAGTGAAAATCACATCAGTGATTTGGGTCCATAAGAGAAGGCAGAAAAACTGAAAGGCCCCCTAGTGGGGTGGAATTTTGGCTACTGACTTCTCTCCTGTGTTGTTTAATAAGAGGAAACACTTCGCCCTTCTGAAGGACAGTGGAGGGTGTTGGGGCTTCTGCAGAGATCGCCCGAGCCCCAGGGGAGGCCCTGAATCCGCCTCCTGACTCCACCTTGCTGAGTGGCCTGGGTGTCCCTGGTCCCTGTTCCCCCTGCCCCATTGAGCCTTCTATGACCCAAGACCGATGAGAAAAGGCCAAGAGGAGCATCAAAGTTGACCTGTGGGTCCCGGCAGCTGAGCCCGGCACCGCGAGGGTATCCGACTTGGCGGGTGATGGTGGCGGCCGCTCTGGTGAGGCCGGCTTCTCCTCCACGGTGAGCGGCTGGCGGTCAGCATCTGCGTCCTCCACCTGCACCTCTGGGTGCTGCTTCGTGGCAGGCACTTGGGAGGAAGAAGGGGTGTACAGTCAGGGCAAAAAGCCAGGGTGGGGGTCTGGGGTGCCTGTGACTTAAGCAGGCCTGGGGGAGCAGGGATGCTCCATGCAGGGGAGGGGGGCAGGCAGCATGCAGAGGCAGCCCCCCAAGGTGTGGCCACTCCAGCCACTGCCCAGGAACCACAAAACAATTGCTGGGACCTCCGAAGCCAGGGGGCAGGCACCAGGACACAGTCTGACTTCCTTGAGTCTGGTGAAGCTTCAAGCCCTGGGTTTGGGTTGAAGGGGTCCCGAGTCATGACCTAGCACAGTGTGTTTCCTCTCTCTGCCCCTCAAGATGGGGGTGACCCCTCTTTCCCAGGACTATGGCAGGAGAGGCAGGAGGGCACCAGGCTCGGCAGGGTGTCACGTGGGACATTCAGACTCTTTCTCCAACCAGGAGACTGCTCCTTTTGGGGGAGGGTACACATTTACAACCCTGACTCCTCACCCACTAGTGACCAAGTGCAGGTTGGGGCAGGAGAGCAGGGAGGTGGGGTCTTGTCAGTCTAACTAGAGATGCCCTGGGCCGTGGGTGCAGGAGAGAGTATGAGGCCCAGGGCTCCTCACCCCTCCTCCCCTCAGACCTGAGAGGTGAGCTGGAGGGGGAAAGGGAGGTGCAGGACCAGGATCTCCCCCACCCCCGGCACAAATATTCAGGGTCCAGGTTCCCCTCCCAGCGGAATGTGCTCCCCGCACCCCACCTCGGGCAGCAGAGGTGCTTGCTTCCTGCTCTAGTGGCTGCTCTGGGTCCAGAGAGCTAGCACAGGGGCGAAGCCAACCACCTCGGTTGGCTCCCCTGTACCACACGCAATCCTTCTCTCACGCCCAGTATCTCTCCTGAGCACAAAGCCAGGAAGAGCCCCTGAGTACTGCGGGGTGTGGCTCAAAATACAAAACAAACCAGAGGCGGCTTTCTCAGGAAGCCTGGAGATGCACGCCACCATCTGCTTTGTGGGGTGCAAGATCTTGCAACTCTAATTAACCCCAGGGGAGAAGGGAACGCCCCAAACCTGGTCCTTCATTCCCCATCAGCTTGGCCGAGCGGGTACTCAAAACAGAAATGACCCTGGCTTAGAGCATGTTGGTTTTCTAGCATCAGGGTAACGTCATTCCCCTAGAAAGAATACTAGGGCGTGACTAAGCTGGGTTGGTGGGGAATAATGCTATTTTCCGTGCATCCCTTCCTGCGTGCCGATTGTATCAGCCTTACCAAACCCCCAGCCCTTGGCAGAGATGGCTCCCAGCTAGGGCTGTGCCTGCAGGGCCCAGGAAGACCCTGGGCATAGATGGGCAGAGACTTGGCCGCAGAACCAGGTTCGCTCTCAGGCCTCCCCGGCCTCAGCCCTTACCCTGCCTGAGGTCAGACCTGTGCACACAGCAGCCTCAGTTCCAAAGGAGCATCATAGGGGCACCACACACACACCACGGGGGTGAAATGGGAACAAAGTGCCCCCTCACCAGTCTCACGTGCCCCTCCTCTGCGGCATTGCAACGCCCGCCCTGTCCCTGTCGCTGGAGATAGTTCTTGAGTGGTGCTGAGCCCAGAGGCCAGGGGGCGGGGGGGGGGGGGCGGCGGGGGACAGGATGATTTTGAGATGATGCAGATGGGGCAATAGATCATAGGACAAGTGTGTTTGTCCTCCCTCACTGCTCTCCAGATCCTGAACGGGAGGCGAGCCAGGGCTTCCAGGGGCGGGGGGCAGGGGTCTGTCCTAACCTCCTCATTCCTCTTCCTGGTGGGGGACTCCCCCACTCTCCCGGGTCTGGTCTTGTGTTTCCCTAGAAACTGCAGATGCCCCTTTCTTGTCAATATTGTTGCTGTGCTTTCTGCTGGTGGCATGCCAGGCTGGTTTTCCATTTGGGCACAAACCTAGAGTTTCCTGCACTGAAAAGCTTAAAACCCACAAAGCAAAGCGTCAAGAGATCAAAGGAGAGTCACAGCCATGAAAATCAGATCCCTGCCAGAGACACAAAATGCCAGGGCAGCCACACCCCAGCTCCGGGAGGGAGCAGATTAAGAGCGTGCTGAAGGCTCTGAACCTGGAGGGTCAGCACTGGTCACAGCATGATCCATGGGTCCTTCACCCCAACTCTGGGCGCACCCCAGGCCAGGAAAAAGAGAGAGTTGGGAGTGGGCCAGTGGGTCAGGAGGGAAGGAACTGTCTGTTGCCCCCCAGGCCATCCAAAACCAAATGAGTCAGGGGGACAAGTGGGGACCTGGGGTGTGGCTCAGAGTACCTGACATGCATGACCTCGGTATTGTGAAAACAACCACAACAAAAGGTCTTGGATTGGGAGTGGAGCCACTTAAATTGGGACCCTTGCTTTGCATACTTGAGACCCTGCTTCTGATCCCCAGCCTCCCCTACAGGAAAAATAAAACAGAAAAGTAACCAGGTCCGCCTGCCTCATTAAGACATAACTGACAGGGCTGAGCCCAGAGGGACCCTCTGTCCCTCAGCACTTTGTCATCAGGCAGCGGGAGTCCGAAGGACAGATCCAGACAGGCTGCCTCTCTGATGTGGGGGGGCCCCCCAGGACACAGCGCCTCACTGCTGGGAGGCTCCTGGGACTTGCCCTGCCAGGGAGGGAGGAATTTGCAGGGCTGGTAATAACATTCCTGAGAAAGCCCCGCTCCCAGCTAACTCCAGAACGTTAGATTCTGTCTGCAACGAACTCCCTGCACACCCCACCCTGTTTCTGGTGCCCCACTCCCTTTGCCACTCAGCTCCCGAACCTGAGTCTCTTAGCCTGCAGATTTGAGTGGCTTCAACTAGGAGGTGAATGAGTCCCTGTATGGGAAAAATGATGGCAGGGGCCAGAGAGCTAGTCCAAGAAGCATCAAGGTTGCTTGCCTTGCATGCAGTTGACTTAGGTTGGATCCCAGGGACCATAGGGTCCCCTGAGCACAGAGCGGAGAGCAACTCTGGAGCACTGGGTGTGGCCCTCCCCTCCCCCACTCCCACCCCACCCCCCAAAAGAAATGATTGCAGAAAATCATATTGAGCCCAAAGGCATGAATCATTAATTCTGGAGTTTGGGAACCCCAGGAAAAGAGGAACTAATGCTTCTTAGGGCACTGCAAAGCAAGATGAAAGCGAGGAGGAGCCCACTAGCAGCCGTGCAGGGTGGGCAGCCTTGAGGGGGGGACACGGCTGAGCCATGCAGAAGCACGGGCCATGGGCACGCACATGCCACCGGCCGGGGTCACGCTACCTAGGAGACGGACGGAGCTCCTGGTTTCCTTGGCGAAGCTGGAGTTGGACAAGGCCGTTCTCCGGGAGATGAGGACGGGGATGCGGGTGAGGGGGACCCGGTAGCTGGGCACATTGGGGAGATGGTCGGCCAAGTTGAGGGGGCCGTTCCCTTGGGCCACGGGGCCAGGCAGCCGGTCCTGGACCAGGCGACTCAGCTCCACCTCCCGACCCGGCTGGGCCATGATGAGGGGGACGGAGGGTCACAGGCAGAGCCGGAGGGGCTGCAAAGCAGGAGTCCGGAGTTGGGGGTGGCAGCGGAGAGAGCTCCTGCCCAGTGCCGGCACAGACCCAGCCGGCGCCCGCCGGCACTGGCAAGAACAATGGCACCCCAGGTCTGAGGCATCACTCTTGTCTCCAGTTTTCAATATTGAGAGCGTCACCAACCCACGTGACTGGTCTGCCCAGGCGCGCTGAGAGACAGCCCCGAGCCTTCTGCTCTCAGCCAAGCAACCCCGGGAGCTTGTGCCAGCTCAGACGCAGAGCAGGTGGCACCTAAGACCCTGGACCTCTTAGACGTGGAGATCCATTCTTCTCCGGGTAGGAAGAATGATGGGGGGGCACAGTTACTCCCCAGCCCTGTAATATCCCCCTAGCCTGGCTCCCCCAGGACATCATGCCACCTGGTAGGCCTGCGAATGTCTGGAGATGAGGTCCCAGCCCACCCCAGGTGGGATATTGGGCGTGAAGCCTGGCAGCAGGATGTCAGGCTGCCCCCAAAGGGTGCAGGTGGGCTGCACGAATGTGCAGGTGAATCCCAGGACCTGAGTGTCCAAGCACAGCTGCAGATGCCGGCTGGGAGGCCTGGGGTGCAGTCTGCAGGGGACACCAAAGCTGTGGTGTCTGGGGTCACTTTTTTTCAAAACAAGTTTTTTTTTTTTTGCTTTTTGGGTCACACCTGGAGATGCACAGGAGTTACTCCTGGTTCATGCACTCAGGAATTACTCCTGGCAGTACTAGAGGGACCGTATGGGATGCTGGGAATCGAACCTAGGTAGGCAGCGTGCAAGGCAAACGCCCTACCCGCTGTGCTATTGCTCCAGCCCCCCCAAAAAAATTTTAATGAATCACCATGAGATACAGTTAAAGATTTACAAACTTCAGTGATTACGTTTTAGTCATATAATGATCGAGTACCCATCCCTCCACCGGTGCCCATTCTCCACCATCAATGTTCCCAGCATCCCTCCTGCCACCTCCCCCATCCCCACCCACCTTGCCTCTGCGACAGGCACGTTCCCTTTTACTTTCTCTCTCTCTCTCTCTCTCTCTCTCTCTCTCTCTCTCTCTCTCTCTCTCTCTCTCCTTTTGGGTGTTATGGTTCATAATACGGGTACTCAGTGGCCATCATGTTTGGCTTATAGTCTACTTTCAGCACACATCTCCCATCTTGAGCAAGCCCTCCAGGCATCCTTTACTTGGTGGTCCCTTCTCTATCTCAACTGCCTTTTCCAGGGGCACATTTTTGAGGGGCTTTTGCAGCGACCTGTTTCTAGTGCCAGCTCAGAGGCACCCAGCGTAGCCCTGTGTTCCCGCCTGGGCTGCAGACTGAGGAACATCCAAGTTGAGGTGAACAGGGTGGAGAACAAAGCGGAAACAACCCCCCAAGGGCAGGGTCCCCAGGTCCAGCCCCGTCTCTGTCGCAGACTGGCTGGGACCACCTGGTCCCCATTTTGAAGCCTGCAGACCTGAGGCCCCAGCCCAGTATGTCTGACATACTCACTGCACCTCTGGCCAACACCCTGGGAACTATTAGTCACCTTCTTTTTTCTTGGGGGGAAACCACATCCCTGACTGGGCTGCATAGCAAGAACCTGAGAGGACTTGGAGGGAAGCGCAGGCCTCTGGGCCCTAAATTAAATCCCCCCACCGCGGAAGCTTCATGTTCTTATCCGTGCAACTGTCCCCCTGCCCCCTGGGTGGGTGGAACATCAGTGCCCTAGGGACCTGGGGAGCTTGTGGGTTGAGAGCTGGGGGGGGGGGGCTGTGTGCTTGGGCCCCCTGGGATTGGGGATTGGGAGGGTTGTCCATAAAAGAAAAGGGTGTGCTTGGGTGCGGGGGGAGGGGTAAACCTAGACACCCAGCATCCAGGATGCCCCCGTAGCTGCAAGCCCCACAATCACCTCCTCTGAGCCAAGCCCTTGCAACTGTGCTCCAGAAAAGGGTGGAAGGAGACAAGTAAACCCCCCACACCACCCCAGACCAGCCTGGGGTCCTGGGACTTGGATGCAGTTCCCAAGGGCCTTTGTCATTGGTGTTGGGGTTTCTGATGATGATTCTGATGGAGTACAGTTGGGTAGCATGATGACCAAATCTCAGGGATGCTGTTCCACTCACTCCCCGCCCCGCCCCCCGCCCCAGCCTCTAACAACTCAACCCACTCCCTGCTCCCCTCCTCCTGCCTGCTGGGACACCATTGCCCAAGTCAGTCTAGGTTTGGGTGGGATTTGGTTGCTTTGCTTCATGCTATTTCTCTTTTGTTTTCTGAACTTCCACATAGGAGTGAAATCATGTATACTTGCAGTTCATTCTTACTTTTCACAGATTTTATGCCAATTCTTTTCTTTTCTTTTTGCAAAAAAAAAGGGGGGGAGTGCATTTGTCATTTGAAGCTTGTGCTGAAACTTCTTAAAGTCAGGGAACATAAGGCCAGCCAGGGAGGGCAGAGGGGTGGACACCTGCCTTACACACAGCCCGCCTGGGTTCCATCCCTGACAACCCGTCCATTCCTGACAACCCCAGAACTTCCAGGAGTGACCCCTGCGCACTGCCAAAGGTGTAATGCACGGGTGTGCAGTGAGATGTGATCTTTGGCCGCCTCTGACATCTTCCAGGAGCACCAGGCCAGAGTGAATAGATAAAGGAGACGAGGTCTTTATCTGGGAAAGGGAGCCTTGTGGAACCCCATCATGTGGCCCGGCACACGGGGGGGGGGGCAGGCAAGGGGATGGGCAGTTGAGAGGCTGTGGGGAAGGTGGGAACGAGATGGCTCCCTGATATTCCTGTGCGGGACCCACCCCTCACATACACATACACACATACACACAACAGATACACACATATACATACATATACACACACATAAGCACACATACACACAGACACACACAGACACACAGACACACACAGACACATATACATATACACACAGACACACAGATATACATACACAGACACACAGACACACACAGACACATATACACATACATATACAGACACACAGATATACATACACACAAACACACAGACACATAGACACACACACACACACACACACACACCCCTACCTCCTGTGCTGGTGGCCACGACCTCCTCCCACAGCACCTGCAAGAGAAGCTCTCGGGGCTAAGCTGCGGCCGCCCGCCCTCTCCGGTCCTCTCCATCCCTCTCCGCCCCCCGCCCCCAGCCTCTGGGTTGCTTAGGAGTCCCAGATCTATTCAGTGTCCTGCCAGTCCCTCTCTGGGCAATCCTGGGTGGGGGGCAGCGGAGCCTGGGTTCACCCCCAGCTGCTCAGGCATATTGGTGGGAACATCCCCAGGTTTGGTACCTCAGGGGACAACTGGGCATGACAGCCAGGGGAGGGGTTCCACCCCAGTTTACAGAAGTGACGGGGGCGGGGTGGTGGTTGTGGTGATGTGCCAGGATCACACATCCCTGGGTACTGGGGTCCAAGTCCTCTGGCCCCTACCTGACCACGGCCTTTAAGGCTTTGGTGACCCCTGGCCCCTGGCCTGAGCAGGACTTTGCAGTGTCCATCCCCTTTGCGCCGTGCACGTCCCACCCTCCAGCCAGGGGGCCAGGCCAGCACCTCCGCTGATGCTGGCTCGTCCCCCCACCCCTACCCCGCTCCCCCTACCTGGCGTGAGGTCCTTCCGGGCTGGGGCCCGTCTACTCCACTGGGGTCCTCGCAGGCCTGCGCCACCAGGTAACTATCCAGCAGGACACTGTGACCCCAAGGGGCAAGAGAGAAGGGCTGCGGTGAGAGGGTGGGGCTGTTTGGAGCCCCCTGGGGCCCAGCCCTGTGTCAGGATCAAGCACGAAGACCCCCAGGTGCTCACCCATCTAAGCTCCCAGCGCCCGGGCAGCTGGCCCCAGGCCCTACCCGAGCCAGTGGCAAAACAAAGGGCGAGGAAGGCACAGACACAACTCAGCCTGAAGAGGAGGGCTCCCTGGAGGAGGCAGCCTGAGAGCCAGATAATGAGTGGATGGTGAGGAATGAGGACATGGGGCTCTGGGTCTATCCAGCACTGGAACATAGAACAGAGCCTTAAGCAGACGCCAGCTTTCCCCCAGCACTTAAAGACCACCCTGGGAGTTGGGTCAGCGGGGAGGAGGAGAGGGGAGGCACCCACCCAGGGTTCCCTGCAGCCTTCCCCCTGCATTACAAGCTCGAGCCAGGGCTCAGCTCCGTGCCAGGAGTCCAGAGACGCCCAAGTTGGCCAGGAACAGGTCCTCACCCACCTCAGCTCCCAACGCCCAGGCAGCTGGCCCCGGGGCCTGCCTGGGTCATGAAATCAGAGCTCCTCTGCCACGGAAGAGGGTTTCGGGGAACCCTGGACAGACAGGGGGTGCTACAGGGAGTGAGGGTCACACAGATGAGGGTGACCCAGGGGATCATGCAGATGAGGGTGACCTGCTGTGCTAGGAACGGGCGCCCAGGCAGGGGCTGTGCAGCGGGGAGCTGGTAAAATGCAGATGCTGCAACTGATGGGATAAACATACCGAGAGTCTCATGGGGACGTCATCCCGGGGAGAGCACGGCAGGCGGAGCATTTGGGTCTGAGCCCTGACACTGCACGGTCTCCTGACCATGCCTCTGAGTACCACCGAGGGTGGTTCCAAAGCCAAACCAAACCAAATGTAGGTACCACTGGGCCAGAGAGATGGTACGGCGGGACGGGAACTTGCCATGCCCTCAGTCAGCCCAGGCTTAATCCCCGGCACCTCATATGGCTCCCTGAGTCCCGCCAGGAGTGATCACAGTGAGCACAGAGCCGAGAATGAGCCCTGAGCACCACTGAACGTGGCCCAAAATAACAAAAAATAAAAAGGGTTTGGCACCAGGGACCGTGTGTGAGGGGACAATATCAGACCCTGCTCCCCAAGGCCCTCCTGACCCGCAGAGCCCAGCACCAAGGGCTTCCTCACAGCGCTTGTCTGTGTCCTGGGGGGCCTGGTGTCAAGACCTCCACGAGGGCCAAGGGGTGTGGGCAGAAC